GTCATACGGAGGTTATGCGTGGAAATGGTTGTTCATTTTGTGGTGATGATGATGTTTAATAATTATTATTGAAAACATTTGAATTATTTCATTCAGCCAAGGAAATATAATTGTTAGGAATGCAAATGATCGAGCATTATTATTCAATGATTTGATAATTAATTGTTGAGGTTAAATAAATAGAAAGTCTCTATTAGTACATTAATTAATTATCAGACATTTGGCTGATGATGGGAGATTGAGAAAGGAATTGACATTAACAATTCATAAAAAATGTTTAGATTGGTGGCTTTTGTATTTTTATTCATCATCACAATTTCGTTTATACATGCGGCCGATGAAAAGTATACTAAACCAACACTAAACGAAATTACATCCATTCCCAAGTTTACTCCCACTGATACTAATCCACTACCAAAATCCTATGCTGGAAATCTACCTATCCGAAGTGGAAAAGATCGATTATTCTATTGGTACTTTCCAAAAACTAATTCGAATATAAATGATGAAAGAAAGGATTTATTAGTCATGTTGAATCGTGGACCAGCTTGTTATTTTGCTGAAATGTTATTCTTGGTAAGTATTTTGATTAGAAAAGTTTTTATTCGAAACTGGTCTTTTCCGAACTATAATTTGATTAATTTATTATTTTAATATTTTTGTAACGATAAATTATGAAAATAGGAAAATGGAGTTTTTCAAATCGATGCAAATCAAGTTTTGACGCTCAATTCAAAATCATTTCATCAATTTGCTCATGTTTTGTACATTGATTCACCTTTGGGAACTGGATTAAGTCAATTTTCGACTGAAGTTTCGAATTTTGAATCATATGGTAAATTAATGTTTCCTGGAAATAGTTTGAGATTAAAAACAGTGTTTCCAGGTGCCACCAAATATGTAGTTAAGGATTTACAAGATGCACTCATTGGATTCTTTACTCTTTTCCCTCATTTATCACCAGATAAGAAGGGAAGTACTTTGAATTTCTATACTCCTGGATATTCTGCCAAGATGATTCCATATTTCATTAAGGAAAATTCAGTTGGTGGCAGTTTCACAACAAAATTCAAGATTTCGAGTATTATTTTGGGAGATCCATTCTTACAACCATCACTTCAGTATGCATCTTATGCTAAATTTGGATATGTTTCTGGATTGACAATGTACAGACAGTTTGTTGAGATGAATAGAAAATATGAACAATGTTTGACTGATGTTGAGAATGGAAATTACAATAATTATGATAAGGAATGTCACAGTTTGATTGCAGGACTTTTAGAAAATTCTGGAAACGTCTCACCATTTGATATTCGTGAACAATCTACTCAACAATATGAACAGAGACAAGCCGTTTTGAATACCTATGTCAATAACGATTTATTACCAGCTCTGAGAAGTTTTGGAAGTATTCCAACCGTAGTTACCATTCCTCATTGTTCCAAGAAGGTGAATGACTTATTCCATGAGGAGTATCATTTGGATGTACCACAAGATGTATTTCCATCCATTCTCAATACCAATACACCTATCAATTCAGCTTACAATACTTCCAATGTTAGAATTTTGGTATTCAGTCAACAATTCAACTTGGTGAGTAACGTTTTTGGAGTGAATGAAATTTTGAGACAAATGTTGGACTGGGAAGGTCAATTGACTTTTAATAGTTTGAATTCGAGCATCTTTACCATACAGGATATGATTGGTGGAAGATTCAAAGCATATGGCGGATTGACTCAAGTAGTTCTCTATAATAACAATTACAAAGAAGGTGTGGAAATTAATCCAAATTTTAATGGAAACTATAAGATTGGTAATGTGGACATGGTTGCCTCTAGATATGAAATGGTCAATAGATACATTACTAGGGCTGACACTAGCATGCTCATTGATGATAGAGATATTTTGTGTGGAGATGCTACCAAGAAGTGCCACTCTGATAGTCAATATCCATGCCCAAGTTTATGCTCCAAGAAGGGAACTTGTAATCTGGAAAAGAAGAAATGCGACTGTCAACCTGGCTATTATGACAATAATTGTTCAATTGGAAGAGCTAAATATTCATTGAACATTCTTTCAAATTCTGTTTCGTTCAATAATTTGTATATTAGTGGAAGAGATACTGTTGTTTTGGAAGTTAACATTCAAGAAAGAACTTCTCTATTGGATCTTTACTTGGAAGTCAATCGTATTGGAAAGTATGGAAATCCATTCGTTTTCATGAATGTTTCAACAACAGCTGATGCATTATCGAGTAGAGAATTGAAACTCTTGGCTGTGAAACAAATCGGTTACAGTCTATTGAATGGATATAAGAGTACAAGATCAGAAGCTCAATCCAGCCACGAACACTACTTTTACACAGGTTACAAGACTTTCCAATTTTACAACACTTCACATGATTCAAAGAAAATTATCGACGCCCAAGATGTTCAAATTATCAGAAATGAATTCCAAACCATTGCCATTGTCATTTACAATGCTGCTGATTTACCAGTCGAATTCAATGTAACATTAAGTAAGTTTATCAATATTTCACAATTTCTCATTATCAATTTCTTAAATAGAGGCCAACCTTGCAAGTGGAAAGGTTCAAACAGCTGGCATCTTTTTATCTCTGAGTGTGGTCATGCTAATGGTTATTGTCTTTGAGGTTGTCTTACTCATTCAACGATCCAACAACCGCAAACAATTCATTCTTCCAAAACTACAGGAAAGACAAGATATTCAAAGAAGAGGACTCTTGGAAAATAACAATTCACTTGTGGACGAGGATGAAAATTCAGAAGTGCTGACAAATAACAATGAAGATATTGAATTACGACAACGAAATAATTAATTGAAATATTTAATGAAAATTGTTCAATTACCATATTTGTGTGTTCATATAATTACGAAATTATTTCATATACGAATGTTTTGGAAGTGACAGACCAGTTTATTTATCAATGAGTATTGATGACGAATCAACTAAATGTTTTTTTGATTTACAGAACTTTGTATTTTTTCACAAACGAAAGTGGACGAATCAACACGATTATAATAATTCGTTCCAATAATCAATTGCCATTTCAAAATCTGCAATTTCTCTCATCAAATTCCCAAAATACTTTTCATCATCATTAAAAAAAATGTCACAAGTCAAAACTGTTATTCTTTTGCTCTTGATCGCTTTGGTATCCGCCGTTGCTGTCAACGCTTCCTTGGATACCTTCGACATGTTGAGTGATTTCATCTCCATGTCCGATCTCTCTCCAAGAAGATCTTCTTCTTCCTCTTCTTCCAGCAGAAGACCAACTAGTTCCTCTTCTTATAGAAGACCAACCAGTTCTTATAACAGAAGACCAACCACCAGTAATAGCAGAAGACCAACTTCTTATAACAGAAGACCAACTACTACTACTAACAATAGAAGAAGACCAACTTCAAACACTAGAAGACCAACTAGTAGTAATAATAGAAGACAACCAACTAATAGAAGACCAACTAGACCAACTAGAACTAATGTTAGAAATGGTTCTAATAATAATAGAAGAAAGCCAAGTAATAGTGTTAGACCTGGAATGAGTAATCAAAGATTTTCTCAATATAGAAATACTCAATCCAAACCATATGGTGCTAATACTCAATCTAATCAACCAGCTCGTCAACCAACTCGTCAACCAACAACTGCTCAACAACCAGCTCAACAAAACATTCGTTCAACTGCTCCTAGCTCACAAGTTGTCCAATCTGCCATGAGCAATGTTAGATCTGCTTCTCACAGCCAATCTCAAGGTAAATGTGCCAAGTATACTGCCAATGCCATTGAAAAGGCCTTGACTGGTAAGACTTACACAATTAATCGTCCAGGTTCTGCTAAGGATTTCGGTTCTTGGTTACAAAAGATGGGTTATCAAAAGGTTAGTGGACCAATGCAACCTGGTGATGTCCAAATCTTCCAAGCTATTCCTGGACATCCTGATGGTCACATGCAAATGTTGACTTCTGGTGGTCAATTTGTTTCTGATTTTAGACAAAGAGATATGTATCCTGGACCAAGTTACAGAAATACTCACCAAGTTCCAGCCAACTACAGATATGTTGGTAATCAATAAATCATTTGTAGATTTTGGAACAATTATTGAGTGGCTTTTACTTTTCTGAATTACTAAGATTAATATTTCCAACCAAAAGTAATAACAACAAGACAATTTCATTTGTTTCCAATTTGTTAATTATTGAAATGAAGTATTCTATTCAGAAACATTTTCAGGCTTAACATTAGCAATACTATTAAGGAGGATATGGGATTCACATAATGGTTTTAAGTAAAAATTCGTTGTCGCTTAACAATCAGGTACCTTAATAAAATCCTGAATTATTATTATTATGATACAAGACTTGAAGTAATACATTCAAAAATTAAATAAATTTTGTTTTGTGGTTGGTAGCATCAAATATGCAACATTTTTCCGCCAAACATTAATAAATTATTTAAATTATATTTAATATAAAAAATAAGAGCCTTCGTGTGCTTTGTTAAATCCAGCGTTCATCATCATGTAAAGACGCAAACCTGTTTTCTTGCCTGTGTTGGAGGTTATTTATACTTCATCACCAACAACAAAGGAGGATTGTAAAAATAGGGTTGAGAATTCACGTTCTTTTGCTTTGGCAAACGTGATTGCTTGCTTTTGTTTTAAAACAGAGCCAACGTTCTTATTAATAGAAACAAATCAAAGAAAAAAGTAGAAGAACAACATCAAATAATGAAGACTCCACAACTCAAATCCAAGGAAAGATATATTGTAGTTGATAAATATCCAGCTGCCAGAAATGTTTTACTTCATTCACTTCCTCAGAATCCTTCGTTCACTTCTAGACTTGTTCAATATGATTATGATTTTGCTATCCATGTTGGTGCAGAGCTGGAGATCATCCAAGATTGCTCTTGGATTAGTAATGATTCAGCTCAAGTAGTGGACAATTCACAAGACAAATATATTGTAGGGTCTGGTCTCTTGTTGAGAAAGAATGGGAAATACTTCTTCATGCAAAATAAGGCCTCAATTGGAAAGGTTATGTTTATTTTCACAATTCTTGAGCTTGACGTATTTAAAAGAGAACTGGACGATGAAGTGAAGGAGTTACTTCAGAAATGTGTTAAACAATTTGAGGGAGAAGAATTAGAACATTTGAAAGATGCTATCAATGGTGGGGATTCATTTTCCCAATTTTTATTCAAAGGCAGAAAGAAGGAAAATGTAAAACATTTCTTTGAAAAGTATAGGAATATTCTATTAGAATTAGATCTATCACAACATCCTACAGATATCCAGTTATGCTCTTTCAAGAATTTTTCTCCACCAAAGGGAAAACTCGAATCTGTTGCAAACTTACGGAAAAAACAATCATATTATAAGAGAAATGGTCACAACAGATTTAGCATCTTTGAAAGATTTCCAAAAGGGATTAGGGATAACAAAGAATTCTGGTTATGGAATGCCTTATTCGAATGCGTAGAAGAAACCAATTCAGTCCCTGATACTATTTTCAGAGCATTAAGGGAAAAAACGTTTAATCCCCAATCATTCAAAACCATTTATTGCCCAGTGGTTTCTTTAGAGAGTAGAGATCCAACATTGAGTCAAGAATTGAAGGAATGTGCAGAACGTCTTCAAACAGCTTTCTTTGTTATTGAAGAGTCAGACTATTCGAAATTTAGATTGAACACTAAATTCGTGGATGAGGAAAAGAAAAATAAGAGAGAATACAATACTGAGGAATATTGGTTTTCACCTGATAACGAAAATATTCCTTTGTGTTTAAGAGAGCAGTTGAAAGAATAAAGAATCCTTAATCGCACTAATTAAGGTCAAAATTCTCTTTTTGTTAAATCTAAAATAAATTAAAAACAACTTTAAAAAATGCACCAACCACACAAAAGCGCTCACTCAAATCATCATGATCAAAAATTCGAATCGGATCATACAATTGATGAATATATTCCTCATCAGAGTGTACCGGAGGAACCTCTCTGGTTGAGAGAATTACAAACATTAGAACCTGTTAAGATTGAAATTGAACATTTTGTTGATGTTCATCACTTGAGAATTGTGGTAATATCGGATACTCATGGATATCATCGTTATTTGAAATTTCCACCTTGTCCAGAGGGAAAGAAGATGATTCTGGTGCATTGTGGTGATATGACTGATCATGGAACGTTGGAAGAAGTGAGGAATTTTAATGCATGGTTAGGACATTTAAGGACTAGTTTCTCTCAGATTTATTGTATTGCTGGGTAGGTTCTTTTTGCTTAATAGTTTTGATTTGAATAATTTTAGTAATCATGAAATTGAATTTGCAAAATTTACAAAAGAAGGTTTGTTTGAAATCAAGAATGAAAATTAATCAATTTGAAGAAATTCAAAAAAAGCTATTGACTAATTGTATTTATTTACAAGATGAGGAATTTACAGTTTGTGGATTGAAATTTTATGCAACACCTTGGTGTCCAAACATGTACGATTGGTTGTGTTTGAAATTTGAAAAACTGATCAACCAGCCAGAGAAGGTGAAGGATTTACAAAATTTTGATGATAAATTCTTTTTCAAGAATGATAAGGAATTGGAAAAGATCTTTTCCAAAATTCCAGAAGATGTAGACATTCTCATAACTCACTCTCCACCAAAATTCATTCTAGATTTCAATGAATTTGGTTACAATAGAGGATGCTCGCAAATATTGGCAAAACTATTGGATTTACACAAGCTAAAGATTCATCTATTTGGACATATCCACTCAACTTATGGTTACGAATTTTTGAGAAGATCCGATGTGTTACAAGCTGCTTCAAGAGAAAAAGATCACAACACTGGTCAGTCAACCAAAACTGAACCAAGTAATGATGACATCCTATTTGTGAATGCAGCAAATTCACACAAATTTCAACCATTTTATTTTGATGTTTAATCACACCCACTAACTGAAACATGGTTGAATTAATCAACAAATTAAAAATGTCACAAGTTGGTTTTTCATCACTGCCCACGGAAATTTATCTTCAAATTTTGACATTTGCTGTAGACTGGGAGCTATCAGATGTTTTATTGAAAACATCAAATGCCAAAATAGTTGCTTCCTTCCAATCTATCAACAGGAATATTATCAACAATTCGGAGATGCAAAGTTCGTTTAACAAATTTTGGTGGAAATTATTCGAAATTAATTTCGGCATCCCCAAGAAAAATTATCAAAAATTGGATCATTTACGAAAGGAAATTATTGAATCAAAAATCGATTTGAGGAGGATTATTTTACAAGCTCATTATACGAAATTCAAATTGTGGAAACAACCTAAATATTATGAAATTCCTGTTGATATTCATGATATGAGAATTGTGTTATTAGGAAGAGGAGGTGTTGGAAAATCTGCCATCACTATTCAATTTTGTCAACATATTTTCTATCCTGAATACGACCCTAGTATAGAAGATTCGTATAGGAAAACAGCAATAGTGGATAACACACAGTTAATATTTGATATACTGGATACAGCTTATTTGGAATATTATTCACCAATGAAGGAACAATACATGCACTATGCTCATGCATTTATTGTTGTTTGTGATCTTACAGATAGGCCAACACTCGTGGAGGTCAACTCTGCAGTTAATGATCTAGTTTTAGCACAAGATAGAGAAGTGAATGATATGCCTATTGTGTTTGCCTTGAACAAGATTGATTTATTGAACGATTCAGATAAAAAACTAGCCACAGAGGAATTTAGTTCTGAAATTAGGAAAATAGTGAATGAATTTTCATTGACGAATTGGAAAATTATGGAATGTAGTGCAAAGCAAAGGCAAAATATTGATGAAATATTTATGGATCTAGCCAGAAGAAGGCAATACTATGATATTGTCGATGATTTCACGCTTTTGCAGAATATTACTCTCGAAAATAGTCAAAAGAAATCAATCTCAGAACATTCAAGACACAAGAAATGTTCTCTAATGTAAATCTTTCCAGGCTTAACATAGAATTTGAAAGGACATTCCAAAATGCGTTTTGTAAAACTTGTCAATTTCTTGAATGGTCAATAATATTCGAAACGTTGCATTGGCTATAGTCCAGAATCTTTGAAGAATGTATTATCATGAAGCTATCTATCCTAAGGATCGTATTCAAAAGTTGGATTTGTACTTTGAAAGTTTGAAAGATTTTGAGGGAAAACACAAGATTTGTTATTCCAATTCTCTCTGCACTGGTGTTCTACTTGGTTTGTAATTGGCTTTTTCAGAATGGAAATGATACTATTTTGTAAACTATTTAATTAAATTATTGTAACAATTAAAAAAAATGTCAAAACGAACACTGGAAACTCTTTATGAGGATGATGAGATTTCCATTGTTGCTCAACCTCCTCCGATCAAGGAAATTAAATTATCATCAAATATTAAAACCAAATTCCAAGAACTTCCCGACGAATTAATTAAATTAATATTAAATTTCATACCGGACCAATATATTATTGCCTCCACTTGTAGAATATCCAAAGAATGGTATGAAATCTGTTCGAATGGTTCTCTCCAATTCCGACTCGATTATTCAATAAGAAGGATCAAGAGATTGGATTTGGTAAAATTATGTGATTGTCCAATGATGAGAAATTTAGTTTATTTAAATTTGAATAATAATCAATTGCCACAACGATATGTTGCAATGATTGGAGGGAGCGAATATTTGACTAATTTGGAAGAATTGGAATTGAACAAGTCAAAACTAAAGTTTAAAGCTGTGAGCTCCTTGGTGAAGAGCAAATTTGCAAAAACTATCAAAAAGATTTCATTTGATAGTTTTATAACAATGAATCCAGATTTGCTAATTAAATGTGTTGAGGATACTGTGGAATCAACTGGAAATTTGTTTTGGTATTACTTTCTTGCTGGATATTTTGAGAATGTTGATTGCGCAGAATTGTCAGAGGAATATTTGAGGAAATCAGCAAATCTTGGTTATGTACAATCACAGATTGAGTATGGTCTTTTAAAAGTAAAAGATAATCAAGAAGAAGCTCTGATATGGTTAAAAAAGGCAGCAGAATTTGGAGATTCCAATGCTCAGATATATCTTTCTGAATTATATGGAAATAGAGGAGAAAATGAGTTATCTTTCAAGTGGCTATTGACAGCTGCAGAACAAGGTAATACTAAAGCGTTCTATAATTTGGGGTTTTATTATAGAGAGGGCACTGGTGTGAAGATGGATTATGAGAAGGCACTCCACTGGTTTTTGAAAGCTGAGGAACATGGCGATCTCAATGCCATTTGTGTTATCGGTCACATGTATGGTATAGGACAGGGAGTAGAAGTGAATGAAGAAAAATCAACAGAGCTTACCTTAAGAGCTGCCATGCGGGGAGACTCTTCCTCGCAGTACAATTTGGGTGTTAAATATTATCATGGCACTGGGACAGAAAGAGATTTGGAAAAGTCATTCAATTGGTTTCTCAATGCTGCTAATGCTGACGAACCACTCGCTCAAAAAAGGGTAGGTTGCATGTTTTCTTCAGGGGAAGGTGTTGAGCAAGATATAGATCGAGCCATGTTTTGGCTTAAAGAGGCGTGTGATCAAGGAGATCATTCATGTACCATTCTCTTTGGAATTATGCACTACTTTGGATTACATGATTGTGAACTAGATTTGGAAAAAAGTAGGCAATTTTTGGGAAAATTAGGCACTCAATTCGATGACAGATTTCTCAGTAAGGTAAATTCAAGCTGTTGTTGCAATGAATGTTTTGTGGAAGATTTTAATGGATTTAACTATGAATGTGCTAATTTATCATGTGATTTTGATTTATGCCAACGATGTTACGAGAATGGAGCTAAATGCAACAAATGTGGAAACTCAAAATTTGCCAAACACCACGCTTTACAACTTTTTGTTCCTTTGCTAAAGCAGTTAAATGAAAAACCAAAGCACACAAAATTGGAAACATTGATCAAACTCCTTGAATAAGTTACATTATGGTTTATTGAAAGTAAGTTTTTTATTAGAACCCAACTTTAATATTAGATGGTTTGTTAGCGTCTGTGGTGACAAGAATTCTATATTTGGTATCTCTGGAATAACCATGAACACCAATAAAATAATAACCCAAGTTAGATGACTTCTTTTCAATTTCCAAAGCAACATTACCCATAGATCTTTTGGAATAATCATAATTAGTCAAAGTTGGAACGGAACGGAATTTGATGTAAAGACCTAGATCACCTCTTGAATTTAAAGGAAAAAGACCTATCAAAAGACGTTGGAATTGAAGATTATTGTAAACATAATATTCCATTTGATCAGCTTTAATCAGCATGTCCTTCAGGAAGACGAACTAAAGTTTGGGATTGTCTAGCAACAATGGTAAAGTGAACATCATTTAGGTGAGCATGAACACCAATCCAATAAACAAGACTTGGATTCATTTGTGTTGTGTTTGTGAAGAAACAAAAAAATTAGAATCTCCATCAACTGGAGTGACTGAAATAGAAAGATTGTCAAGAGGTGAGGAAGTTCAAGTCTAAAGTATGTGTAGGTTCCTTTGAGAGCCTTGGCTTGTTGAGTTCAATCATTAAGGTGAATAAACTCTAATTACAATAATATTCATCCTCAAAATATTGCAAATTGTATCAACTTACTGTTGCTTGACCAAATGTTAAAAACAAATTCAGTAACACTCTTTCCATGAATACCAATGTAGAAAACATACCGATTCTTGGTCGCAATACATGATAAGTAAGTTTGGTATGACCTTCACAAATTCTAAAATTCCAGAAGAGCTTTTAATTTTGGTGCTGTCAGTCACTTTCGTTCTCTGCTTTGCAAGTGTCAGCGAAGGCAGAGGACCAAAAGCATGTGCAGATTTGAGTACATTACCAGCTGGTTGTACTCAAAAATCTAGCAAAGATTATTCAGGTACTCTAGCAACATCAACAGGTCCTTTGATGGGAATGGCGGCTGACTTGTCTGCAAATATTTATGTCATCCAAAACGCTTTCAACTCCTTTAAGACAAACAACTTGGCAACTGCTACATTGAACAAGGGTATTATTTCAAAGTACTCAGCTGATAAGGGTGTTCTTGCTTGGGAAAAGTTGACATGTGGTTCAGGAAATACTTTCTTTAGCAATATTGTTGCTACTACTTCTCAAGTTAACATTGGCGGTACTATTGAAAATGTAACCAATCCATCTGATTTGTGTATCTTTAACGCTGTAAGTGGATCCAATACGAGAGAATTGGACGGAAGAAATCTTTCGTTCTTTGTTTCGTTAGATTCTTCCTCAGGTATTGTTCGTTTTGTCAAATCACTCGATGTTTACAATGGCTCCACCATTCTTTCAATGACTTCTGATGCTAGCGACAATGTTATCATTGCACAAAAAGTTAAGAAATATGGTAGTGGTGTTATTTCTATGGATGGTATCACAGTTACTCTTCCAAACAATGATGTTAGCAATGTGGTAATTTCTGAATTCTCCAACGTTGATGGTAATTTAAGATGGTCATCCGTTTTGTGTGAAGATCCATCAAGTGAAGAGGCATGTCAAGTTATTTCCATTCATTCCTCTTATGGAGTTGATGATAATGTTCTGATTGTTTTATCTGTGAAGGGAAGTGTAGTTTTGAAAAATTTTGGTAAAATATCATCCCAAGTTAATATGGCTAATATCTTCCTTGTTGGTTTGTCAAAGAATGGGCAAAAGGTCAGATTTGCAAAGACGTTGAGTTATAGTTTAACTATTGATATTACAAATGTCAAAGCAACTATTAATCAAGCTGGAGAAATGGTTTTAGCACTAGCTTGTTCTGATAATTGTATTATCAATCAAGAAATGGTAAATCCTGGTATCTACCTCATTCAATTTAACATGTTTAAACTCTCAATTGACTATGTTAAATTATTTGTACCAATATCTAACCTTGATACTGTTCAAGTTGCATCAATTGCAATCGATGCCGCTGGTAATCCATATACCATTATCAAATCTTTGTCCACTCCCCAAATTACCATCTATGACAGTGATTCTAGAAAGTCAACCTTTGTTTCTCCAAATGTTCTTCTAGTGAAACATACAGCAAGTTCTGGATCAGTTTACTGGGCACAACCTATTGTCACTTTCTCTACTGTTAGCAAGCTGTTCATTCCAAATATGTTCAGAAGTGATTCTTATGTTTATACTTTCCCAACTATTCCAGTTGTTTATCAAGATAACAATCAAGTCAACTTGAACACATTCCAACCATGTTTGGGCACGGTTTCAAAGCTATCAACATCATATTTCGTTGGTGGTTCTGGAGGTGATCATTCATTTTCAACAGATCAGAAAGTCAAATCTATTGCTTGTTATGGTGAAGGAACAGTGAAAGGAATTGTTTTTAATTATTTTGTTGGTGAAGGTTTTAAAGCAGGAACAACAGAGGGAACCACAAAAACCATTATCTTTGATCCAGATGAGTACATTACAGAACTAGAGATGAGTGTTGATAGAGGAACATTTATAACCAACGTTGGTTATATCAGAATCAAGACAGACAGACAACAATTTACATTTGGACAAAAGAGGTCGTCAAGTAACTACAATTACATTCTGGATAATGATAAGACTGTTATTGCGTGGTCTATCAAGTCAGGAACTCATGTTGATTCAATTACAGCATTTTTAGGAGATAGAGCCAACGGTTATCCACTTTATTGTGATTGTAAGTCAGGTTTTGAAGGTTCTACGTGTGAAAGAACTCAATGCTATGGTCAAGATGCCACTGCCACAGGAGTTGTTTGTTCAGGAAAGGGCTCATGTTCAGGTCCAAACAGTTGTGCCTGTAATCTTGGATACAGCGGTCATGCCTGTATTGATGTTAATTATTGTAACAATAATAGCTCATTGGCAGATCCATTGTTGTGTGGCACTGGTACTTGTAAGAGTGATTTGTGTGACTGTAAACCTGGGTTTTATGGCGAAAGATGTCAATATTGGGATTGTTATGGAATTCAACAAACAAACACTTCATATGCTTGTAGTGCTAATGGACAATGCCAATCTCCAAACAATTGTCAATGCTATGATTATACCAAATATGGAGGTTTACAATGCCAACTCCCTATTTGTAATTTCTTACTTTCAAATCATTCAGATGTATGTACTGGACATGGCATTTGTACAGCTCCGGAAAAATGTGCATGTGAACCAAATTATTTGGGTCAATATTGTGAAGAATTCTCTTGTTTTGGAATTGAAAGAAATTCCTCAAATGTCTGTAATACTCGTGGTAAATGTATTGGTATTAATCAATGTAAATGCACTCTACCATACTATGGAAATGAATGTCAACTCTATGATTGCCATGGAGTAGTATATAATGATAATAATGTCTGTTCTTCACATGGTCAATGTGGTTCACCAAATAATTGTACATGTCAGGCAGGTTATTTTTCAAATGATTGCAGTTTATATCAATGTAGTGGTAAATTAATGAACGATTCGAGTGTCTGTTCTGGAAGAGGTACTTGTCAATCACCTAATAATTGCTCCTGTGTTGAAGGACATTCTGGTCAAGTGTGTGAAAATTACTATTGTTTCAATGTTTTTAAAGGAAATTCTTCAGTTTGCTCAGGTAATGGTAATTGTATTTCATCCAATAATTGCCAATGCAAATATAATTTCAATGGAACAAATTGTGAAACATGTGCCAATAACTATTTTGGCAAACGCTGTACTAATAGCATCCCCAATAGAAGAGCACTCATGACATCCACCACTTCAGTAGAAATCGAGTTCTTCTCTCCAAAATATTTTGCAACCAACAGTCAAACTACAATTAGTTGTGATAATATACTGTCCCCTGCATCTATCACTAAATATGTAGAATTGGACTTTGTAGACCAAAATTACTTTCCACTTTTGCAGATTCTAATGGAAACTATCAATATAGATTCACTATAATTTATAGCAGTAATCCAACATTCATTCCAGGAGATGTATTTGAATTCAATGTTTTCTGTTTGGAAAGTGAGACACCTGTGTTTGTTCCAATGGTTTATGATGATTCCCAATTGGTTTATACTGATCCAGTCGTTGAACTTGCAATCGATACTGGTGGTAGTGGACAAGATGAAGCTGCAGTTCACAAATGCTTCTCGACTACTTTCAAAATTACAAAATGGTCTCAATATGAGAAGAGAGAAACTTATAGATCTATTAATTGGACAATTGTTGGTTCAGATTCATACGGTGTGGAAACTACAAGTGCTAAGAATCAACTGTACCTTACCATTCCAGCAATCTTTTCATCAGAATTTTCTTCCTTGACTCTTGAAGTTATGTTCGAAACTTATTTCGGAAAAAAGAAACTTTTCTCTTTTAATTTCCCTATCAGTTCTAAATCAATGTTGCCACATGGATCAGCATATTCAACAAGACTACGAATCAAGAATAATGTGCTCAACTATGTGAAACCATCCTCATTCATTTCAAATCCATGTGCCAGTCAACTTGCATCGCCTTATATTTTGGTTATGATTCCATCTAGTGATGCCCTTCAAGTTTCTTATCAAGATCAACAATTTGCTCTTAAAAATTCTCTGTTTAGTGCACCTAGAACAACTTCAGTAAGATTCTATCAAACCTCCACTAATTATTTCCAAATTGATTTCACATTTACTTATGAAATCGCAGCTTTCACTATGAATCCTACAGTTTTTATTGACTCTAGATCAACCAGTACTGTGTTATCATGTACTGATGCTTCTGAATACGGAAGTGGAACACACAGATACGAGCTTCAATGTTATAATTGTCAACCGCCTCAAAACAGAAGCAAGGAAGTGTCATTCTCTACAGCATCTTCATCAAGTACAACCTACGATTTATCTATTTTTGGATTGGGAAGTAAAACTCTAGATATTGGAGTGAGATGTTTCAGAACTAATGAAATATTGTCAAGTGATGTATCATTCACTAATTACAAAGTTTCTTTGATTAATTCAAATTCTTTCAATGATGAATGCAAGATTTTATCTTTCCGAATTAAGAATTTGGTAGGCGTCAATTTACCATTCACTAGTTCACAAACTGAATATCAAATTGAAGTAATTATGAGCTCATCTAATTGTCCTGTCAAATTGACTGTCTCAAACCAATCAGATACAAAATATACAATTTATGAAGGAACACTAATCAATCGTTTGAACACTATTCCGTTCGTCTATGTATCTGGGGCGATTGAGAAATCTGGTGGTAGGGTATTTTCTTTCTCCAGTGTTGGTAACACATTGAGATTGGACAGCTCAGTTGATTCTTCCACTTTACTTATTAATTCAGATCCAGCACCTGCCTATCCAAGTGGTTGCTCAACCATTAGATCAGTTTATAACCTTCTAGAAACTGTCTCCATTTCATGTTCCACTGGTACTGGTGTTTCATATTATGCAATTTATCTTGATGATTTCTTTTTGACACGCTCAACAAGTTTCCCGCTCACATTCACTGTACCAATGGAAGGAACTCTGTATTTGGCATCTGTCTCTTCTTCAGGTGGTATTGACAAGAGAAAGATAGCTACTGCCGAATACTCAGCATCAATCTTTACTCAAACCAGTAATATTAATACTTTTGTAAATGGGGTTGGAATAATTTCATCAGTTATGCCATTACAATATTCTGCTTTCTTTTATTACTATCCTCTAAAGAAACCACAAATGGATGAAAAACAAATGGTTTCATTATACGAAACTGCATTGAATAAGGCTACCTCTTATGGAAATAGTTATGGATTTGCCAATGCTGATTCTCTTAATTTATTATTACATAGTGTTGCCTGTTTGAGCAACCCATACCTTATGAAATTGAGTACTTTTAGTTCAACTGTCAAATTCTTATATTCCTTCATGGACAACGCTGTGTCCAATGTTAAAAAGAATCCATCTCTATGGACAAAGCGTTCCACCAAATCCCTGGGTATCATTCTTACAAATTTGAATATATTTACCGTACAAGTTGCTGATATACCATTCTCCTCTTACTCTGCTCCATCGAGTTACATTCTCTACACAACTGCTCAAATTACTGGTGAAATCACTCAGAAAGAATTATTCGGTAGCTCCACTCAAAGTTTATCACCAATTGTTTATGCCAAATCAATTAGACAAGAATCCATTTCTTATCTTTCAATTACTGATTCGAATAGTAATAGATGGATTACACTTAATTCTCAAAATGTTTATCCAACATTATCTCCAATGTCTAGCATTCAAGAAGTTATTGTAAACCATGCCATTATTAAGAAACCAGTTCCGTCTACTTTACAATCAACTGGGGATGTAACAAGTGATTATCTTTCCCAATTTTCAATGACTGGTGCCGAAACTCTTCCAGATAAGAATAGAGTTTTTATTTCAGTTCCACTCTCTTCTAAACCTTCCAATAGTTTTGGTGGAAAGAGTTTCGAATGTGTTATGGTTTATGATACAGATACATGGACAAGGGATTATTCTTGTTCTCTTGTCGACACTTTTGAAGCATTAGTTCCTGAAATTAGTTCTGAAAAAATTTTAATGGCAAACTGTTCATGCTTACTGACATCTGTCATGAAATTGAAAACCACCTCCAGAAATGTTCAACAAACATCCTCAACAACTTCCAACAATGCTATTGGAGTTTACATTTATGATAACGGTGTTGGTGTTGGGTTGGGCATTTTCTTTGGCTTAATTGTTCCATTATTTTATATCACGGCATTGGTTGTCTGTGTTGTTGGTGCTTTCTTATTTTGGAAATTCAAGATTAAGCCAAATAGTGGAAAGGCAAACAATCCAGCAGTTTCTAAGGAAAATCCTAATGTCGTTGTTTAATAATTATTTTACAATCAACTGTCAATAAATAAGATTTTCAATTTAACATTAATTAAAAAAAAGATCCGATCTATTTGATTAGCAATTATTCGTTGGTGTGAATGAAATACGCGAATGCCGATAAAGCGCGGATTTACATGTCGGGCATAAAATCCGACAAGTCCTCTCTTCATCGTCTCCATTGAAATTTTCAACAACAAAAAAACATGCCAAAAACCTCATCTCGTCAATCAGGAAAATCCCACCCCAATGACTGCAACGCAGAGCTGAGTCCCATTGCTTGCAAGGCCTGCAAAAAAGCACATAAAAAAGTAAGTAATCCATTGCCATTATTATTATTGAAACATGCAACTTTTAAAGTGTGTAAGTATTCATCATCATCTCATCATCGGAATTAATATACTGAATAATAGGATAGGAAAATGGGGAAATGCTCCCGATGTTCAAAGAAAAATCTTGAATGTCATTATGATACAGTGGATAGGAGAAGAAGATCTGAAAATCAACAAATTCAAACCGATGCAAATAGTAGTGGAAATGACAGTTCAAATCAATCACTTTCGGAATATTCCGATGATCATCAGCTTATCAAACACTCTGTGAATGGTAAAACCATTGAAGTTTACATTTACGTTACCAGTATGGGAATTCCTTGTTTTAAACCTGAAGAATATTACAAATTGTTACAATGCAATATGGAAGAATTAAATAAGAATCGAAGAGATCAACTAGCTCTATTACTTTCTATCCAAACTATTTGTGAACAGATATTTGGATTCCCTGATTTGGCTGAACAAACTGCCAGAAAATGTAAAAAGGTTGTCATGCATTTGTATGATGATTTTTCAAATCCATTTGTGGCTTGCACTTTTTTGAATATGGCCACATATTATTCAGCTGAAGGAGATATTGAGATGGCCAGAGGTTACATTGCTTTGGTGGAAAATTTTATTGATAGAATGAAACTGACCTCACAATTATTCGAATATGAACTAATTCCTAAATTTAACATTGAATTTTGCATAACTTCAATGAAAATTGTTACTCCCATAACGTCTTTGGCATGCTGTGATTCCTATCCAATACCTGACGTTCCAATTCTCACGAAAATCTTTGGACTCCTCTCATCAATGCACGTTTTTCATCCAAGTTATGAAATTGAATTTTGGAATAATAATTTGAGTCCTACCATTGAGAATAGAATTAATAATTTGGAGATTTTCTCAGTCCTTGCCGCCATATATGAGAACAAGTTGACAGATGTTTCAAAGAAATTAATGGAAGTCACCAAGGAAGTCTTCTTCAATGGATTGAATATTATACGACTGATATTGCATGCCAGTAAGATTGATAATTCTAAATTGTACGCAAATACTAGATTATTGGAATTCTATGCATTGAAAGTGAGCAAATTATCAGAGAATAATCTCTTCATTTACATGACTCCATATGTCATGTCATTTGTTCTGTCATCCATTAAGGTAAACTTTGAAGTTTGTAAAATGATTGATCGAGGAGAAAGAGTAAATTTACAGACCACACTCGTATTGAATAATGAAATGTTTGAAAATTCGACTGAAGTTGTGGATTACTATTCAGTGCTGAATAGAGATTTGGAAACACTCAAACAACTTTCAAAGAGATACAGATATATCACCACTATTTATAATGAAGTGAATACATTCTTGAATAATAGAGCTAACATGTGTCAATCGAACATTCAGTTGGATGGGTTGACTTCCTCTCCTGGAAGTTTGAGTTCACTATTTGATCCACCTTCTAACATTTACTCAGAGATGAGGAATTTCTTATCAACCTTTGGAAAATCCAGGAATTTACTCAAAACAACAGATCAAGAAAAACCAATTTGTGACAGAATTACTACTGAGGAAGAGTTTTGTAATTATTTTGGATTTGAACCAGCAATGGATGATCAATTTCCACCAAACAATAGATAAACATCATAATATTAATTGTGTTTTTCTATCAATTTAATTGAATTTCCAGAAGTACTAGAATTACATTTGAGTGAAGCAACAATAAAATAAAAAGTAATTTCTGAATGCGTCGACCGGGAATTGAACTTCCTTTTTAGGAATATTATATTTAATATTTAAATAGTTTACAATATTGAATAATGAAACAACGTGTAAATGTGTTTAAGTAGGGTACCCGTGAGTCGATTCACCATATTTGGAAGGTACTATTCAACAACAACAACAACAATAAATGTATTTAATATTAATTATTTGATACCGGGAGTCGCTTTTCCTTTTTGGGAATGTTGTATGTGAGTTATCAACTGGTCTACGCATTTAAATTTTTTTAAAAAATAAAAAAAAATGAAATTGGGTAACGGGAGACGGTTTACTATATATGGAACATTCAAACATACAATTGAACCCGGGTCACGGCGATGGCAACGCCGTATTCTACCACTAAACCATCGACGCTTCTTATTAAGGTTCTAAGGCTCTATCATTTCACACAACCAGAAACCTGATACTCCAAAAGTTTATTACAGCTGATCGTTCAATGACTCATTACCACCTTATTGCAAACTCTTTCCACCAACACATTGGAATCCTAACTTGACACATCTAGGACAAGGTTTTTCATCAGTACAGAAAACGTGAGCTTTTCTACATTGATCACAGGGTGACTTAACTTGATTTCTTCTCTTTTTCTTCGTTACTTCTCCCTTATCATTGCTACCGTTCATTATAACCGTGACGTGTTTTCCTGTAATCAAGTTTGTAAACTTGATTGGCATTCCGTTTGGAATAAAGTTGAATAAATCACAATCTCTTTTAAGAAATTTCTTATCTTCCTTATTCTCAATCATTGCAGGATTCAAATTGTATATCATGGCTTCATAAAGCTTTGGGGAAATGATATCTCTCTTAGAAACCAAAAGTGGATGGGAATCAACTGTCGCCAAGACCTCTCCTTCAATAATTGGGAATCTGATTTCACTCAAGAAATAGTCCAAATATTGCAATCTATTTTCCTTATCGTGCTCAATCCATCTCATCAAGGACTTGAATAAATTTCCTTCACTACCTATTAATTTGAGTTCCTCTCCAGCAAGCATGACCTTCAAGTCTTCAATTGATAATTTAACAAAATGTTCACTTTCACAAACAGCATCAAAATTAGCAGAAATCTTAGTAAGAAGAGTTTTCTTTAAAGAGTTGATTTCCTTAAATTCTTCCAGATATTGTGAGCAATTTTCCAAAAGAAGGAATGAATCACCAACAGCAGCACTTCTCATAATTTTAAGAGCCCTACCCTCAATTTCTTGCATTCCATAGGTATGAGCAAAAGTGTACAGATCCATAAATTTATCCACTGCATAATCCTTTGTGGAACCAAAATAGACAACCTTTAAGAAAATTTCCAATCCTAAATCGGTCACCTGATCCAATACAAGCTCCATGCCAATCTTGAATTCTGGAATAAAAAGAAGTTCCTTCAGTTTTGTACTCCATTTTCCGACCTATGATGAATCATCATGATGTTCGGATCATCACACAATTTAAATATTTGATTTTACAATAACACACACATACCATGGCTCTAAGAGCTGGAAATTTCTTTCCATTCTGACTGATCAATACACAATCAGAAACTTCTTCATCCAAATACAAGGATGAAATCATGGACATGGTTTTTTCTGTACATTCAATGTAGTTGTTGGAACGGGTTATGGAATTACCTAATGTGGAAATTGAATTCAATTTTGAAATTGAATATAAGTGGATTGTTTCAATAAATTTTCAAAATTGAAATTGAGATTATTTACAATATTTTATTGAATATTGATGAAATTAAATAAATAGAATATTTCACATAGTTTCTTGTTAGAAAAGATAGTCAATTGAACTTAAGATTTATTACATATCAACCAGACACTCAATCACCATCAAAGAAAACAAAGAAGAATAACGTTATTGATAGTGATACTGAAGATTTCGATTGTAATATTAAAGATATTGATAATTGGGTATAGGGAAACGGAATTTCCTAATGGGGAAAGTCACACAATAAATTAAATTATTTATTCATTAATGATGATGTTCACAAACTTTGAATTAACACATTATGTACATGATGAAACAATTCAAACTTTAAACATTGAACTTTAACCATCGGGTAACGGATTTTAATACATGTACTAGTATGTTGACAATTTGATAATTTGTCGACGCACATAAATTTAAATAAACAAAATTAACAAGATTTTAAACAAAATCCTACATAGAGTTGGAGAACGGGAAATGAAATTCCCAAATTGAAATTTAGAAACAACTATTCATTTCACAATAATTCATACTATCAAAATGAATTGAACCCGGGTCACGGCGATGGCAACGCCGTATTCTACCACTAAACCATCGACGCTTCTTATTAAGGTAATAAGGCACCATATTTTAATAAAGAAGAACCCCAAAAGTGTTTTTATGCTTTAATAACAATTTGAATGATTCATGAATACCTGCGGTGGGAGGTAACATTGGCGTGGCTACCTCAACAACTAAAAAAAGCGCCATAATCACCTACAAGTTGGAGGTACCCTCAGATTGACATGGCTCTTAAATTTGTGATAATGGTTTCGAGTAATTCTTACTCCAATAGTTCACATCATCCAAAAACTAATACTAGTAATTTTTAATACCATCATTTCCTTATTGAAACATCATCCTATCATTCACCAACAAATTGAAGTGCATTCTTCATTCTTTTCTTACTCAATGGCCAACAAAACGATGGCTAATTGTTCAGTTTCCAACAACACACAATTGAATGACCATAAAGAAACCTCAAGCTAATACTTTCCTTTTTCAATTCATATTCCCATCATCATACAAAATGATGAAATATCACATGAAATATTCAGTGAAAGAAGTAATCGTTAGACACAAATATTCAATTTAGAAAGGAGATGATTCACATCAAAAGAAATTACCATTCCTCATATGAATGCATTTGGAAATAATGTAAACCACAACGGTTTTAAATCAAGCCACAACAGCAACTGATGGAAGACATGTCCACTCAATTCTTCTAGACATACAAAAAGTTCATCCACATAACAACAACACCTGACATCCACCAACTGACACATTTCAATAATACACAAGGTTGTTCTTGTTGTATTTTAAAGACACACCAAGACGGGTTAACAACTTCAAAAAAAAACAAAAATACAAGATGGTTACAAAGGCAAATATTTCAATTGTTGTCATCGTTGTGATGATGGCCATGTTGGTGTACATGGTTAATGGAGCACCATTAAATACATACTCTGTCAAGATTAGTACATTTGCAGGTGGTAATGGTGAATTCAAAGATCCACAAAAGCTTGCTAGATTATCAAATGGTGATATTTTGGTCAGTGATGCTTTAGGTCATGCCATTAAGAAGATTAACGTGACCAGTGGTGTGATTACTACAATTGCTGGTAATGGTACTGCTGGTTTTGGAGGGGATAATGGTCCAGCTGTCAATGCTCTAGTCAACAAACCATTTGGTATTGCAGTTTCTCAAACAGATGAGATTTACTTTGCTGATTCTGGAAATAATAGAATTAGAAAAATTGATTTGACTGGTACAATTACAACAGTGGTTGGTACAGGAGATGCTACACCTTTCATTGATGGTGATTTGGCCACCAATTGTACCATTAACACTCCAATGGATGTTTCATTGAGTACTTCAGGTGAATTATACATTGCTGATATGTACAATTACAGAATTAGAAAAGTTTTGACTAATGGTACCATTGTTACATTTGCTGGAAGTGGTCAATCAGGTCATACAGGTGATGGTGGTTTGGCAACCAATGCTGCCATGGCTCTTGCTTATGGTGTAAAAGTTTTTTCAAATGGAGAAGTTTACATTTCCGATAGTTTCAATTTCAAAGTGAGAAAGGTTGATGTTAATGGAACTATTACAACTGTAGCTGGTTCTGGTGTTGCTCCTTATAGTGGTGATAACATTTTGGCTACTGCTGCCAATTTGAATTATCCAAGTGATGTTTTTCGTTTTGATACAGGTGAATTGGTCATTGCTGATACAAACAATAATAGAATTAGACTTGTAATGCCAAATGGTACAATTATTACAACTGCTGGTAATGGTACTGCTTCATTCTCTGATGGTGAATTTGCTGAAGAGAATGGATTATCTCTTCCAACTGGTTTGGTACTTATTCAAAATGGATTGTTGATTGCTGATGCTGGTAATAAGAGAATTAGATTGTTACAACGTACAATTTTCTCATGCTATGGAAAGTCAACACTCGATTCCAATGTTTGCAGTGGTCAAGGAAGATGTGTTGGTAATAATATATGTCAATGTAATGCTGGTTTTGAAGGACCAACTTGTCTTCCATCCAAGTATTATATTACAACTGTTGCAACTGATTTTAAGGATCCACAAAAGATTGCCAAATTGTCAAATGGTGATATTATCGTTTCTGATACAGGTGATCACTCTATTAAGAAGATTAGTTACTCAACTGGTGTTATTTCAAGAATTGCTGGTACTGGTGTTGCAGGTTTTTCAGGTGATGGTGGTTTGGCTTCCCAAGCTCAACTCAATAAGCCATACGGTATTGCAATTACTGCTAATGATGAAATTTACATTGCTGACAATTTAAATCATAGAATTAGATTTGTTGATGTGAATGGCAATATTTCAACTGTTGCTGGTACTTCAATTGGTTTCTCTGGTGATAGTGGTTTGGCAACAGCTGCTAAATTAAATGCTCCAATGGATGTTTCATTGAGCGCTTCAGGTGATTTATATATTGCTGATAGAGATAATTATAGAATTAGAAGAGTTAGCAGTGGAGTTATTTCTACCTTTGCTGGTAATGGTCAATCTGGTTATTCTGGTGATGGTGGTCAAGCTACAAGTGCAGCCTTATCTCAAGCTTATGGTGTTAAGGTTATTAATGGCGAAGTTTACATTTCAGATAGTAACAATTACAAAGTTAGAAAGGTTGATGGAAGTGGAATTATTACAACTATTGCTGGTTCTGGAGCTGCTCCTTTCAATGGTGATGGATTGATGGCAACTTCTTCGAATATGAACCATCCAACTGATGTTGCACTTCTACCAAGTGGTGAAATGATAATTGCGGACACTGATAACTATAGAATTAGAATGGTTCTTTTGAATGGTACAATGGTCACTATTGCAGGTAATGGTAATTATGTTTCAAGTGGTGATTATGGCCTTGCTACATCTGCTGGTTTGAAACTCCCAACCGGTATTTTAATTACTCAAGATGGTATCATGTTCACTGAAACAAGTAGTGTTGGAAGTAATGGAGGCGGTAAAGTTAGATTATTATCAACAGTTTATGTTCCTCCATTGTGTAATGGTATGTCTGCAAGTGATCCTTATGTTTGTAACGGAAGAGGATCATGCATTGGTAAAGATTTGTGTCAATGTAATGCAGGATTCAATGGAACCTTCTGTGCAAATTCTCAATGTGTTAAACCATCTGCTGATATCACAATTCCATGTTTTGGAAATGGTAATTGTTCAAATGATGTTTGTACATGTGCTCCTGGTTTCTATGGACCTTACTGTTCAATCTCAGTTATGATTAGCTCTAGAGGATATACTCATCCAATTATGGGTATTTTCATGATGGCTACAGTTAATTCATTGACCCTTGATGGTATTTCAAATGTTGATTACAGTTGGTCTCAAATTTCTGGTCCAACCATTTCAAACTTGGCAACCATGACCAATTTGAAAACTCCAACATTTATCATTCCAGGAAAATTCAATTCTCTTTCATTCGATAACGGTCTTGTTTCTGGTAATACATATGGTTTTGCATTGACTGCCAAGATTACAACTGGTGCCTACACAACAACTGTCACAACCTCAACCACTGTTCTAGTTCAACAAAATCCAGCATTGACTTTCACATTAAAAGATGACAGTACCAATCAAGCTATTACTTCAGGTGTTGCTGGTACAACTGTTTTCAGAATTAACATTACAAGTAACTCAAATCCATACTCTGACTCTAGCTTCAAATACGGATTTGGTTTTGCAGATTCTAATAGTATTACAATTCTCACTGATATGAAAGAAGGTCCAGCTACTTTTAAATTACCATTCATTTCAGGTCAATCAAGTGTTGATATCTATGTTGGATGTGAAGGAACTAACTCATACAGTGTTCAAAAATTGACAACTGTCTCATTGACAAATCCAGTTTCAAACTTGCCAACAAGTCAAGCCATTTCCTCAATTCAAAATCTCTTCACTTCAAATTCTTCTGTTGGTGATTTGTTGGGTGCTGCTTCACTTTTGAATACCATTACAACAACTGATGCAACTCAAATTGCAAATAAGCAAACTATCAGAAATTCAATCATTACCACAATTTCTAAAGCAATTTCCACTGGAGATCTTGGTTCTGCAATTAAGGCCCTCTCTACCGTAACATCAGTCACATCAGAAATCACTCAAACTTCTGCTGATAACACACTTGAAACAATGATTAGTGGAACCAACAATCCACAATTCTCCAGAAATGAAGTTGCTTCACTCGTTAATATTGCTTCAAGTATTGGATCAGTTTCAAGCGGTAGCAAGACAGTATCACTTGGTAATTCAATAGGATCTAAACTCATTACACAAATGTCCTTGGGAGATTTAATCAGTAGTAGTGGAGCCAATTTTGGTATTGCAATTTCGAGAGGTGTGAAATCATTCGCTCTTGCAAATGTTTCAATTGCTTTACCATCTAACACAAGATCTTTGAATGGCATTGAATGTTTCTTCATTGATATTAAGGACCAACTTTCCTTCATGCAATGTTTGGCAAATTCCAATTGGGTAGCCAGAAATGGACCAAAATATGCACCAGGTACTCAAAGAGCTCTTAACGCTGCCACATATACTATTGGTTCATTGGTTTATGACCTGACACCAATGTACGACAATGGAACCATTGTTTCTGGTAATGTTACAAGTTCTACCGATATTCAAATTACAATTCCTTACACAGGATCATTGACACCAGTTTGTGGTATTTTAAATAGTGATCAAACTTACTCTGTCAATAGCAAAGCCACACTAGTCAAAGGAAATGGTTCAGTAACTTGTAAAACTAAAGTATTGAGAGGAAATGTCTTGCTTTTAACTCAAGCTACAGCTGCTAGTTCACCTATCACACCTAAGAAATCGACAATTGTTGGCGGAAGTGAAACAAACAAGTTGAGTGCATTGTTGATGTGTTTGTTGATGGCTATTTCCATGTTACTCTTCTAAAATAAACAATATTTTCATTATTAATTATTTATTACATACACTGTACTTCCAGCAACAAAATACTTCGGGTTCTTAAACATGAACCTTTCCCAACATCTTTAAGTAAATGGAAGACATGAAGATGCTATGGTGGAATGTAGCCATGGCTGATGTGGAAGGAAGCAAGGGAGAACTCTCTTATGGTAATATCAAGGTAGCATGATGAAGGTGGTATTATTCAGCAGGTGGTGATGAAATCATGATGAGTACTTGTTTTTTTTTTGAAGAATATTTAACGGTCAGAACAGACAACTTTCAGCGGTTTTTGGATGGCGCGAAAATACCACTATATCTACTTGCAACAATTTAATGAAAAAGATTTTAGAATAGTTTAATTGGTTGTCCTGCTGTTACAAGTGGACAGGATCTTCAATAATTCAGATCTAATAATGGAGAAGGAAGGTCTTAAATCTGTTTGTTGATTCCAACATTGCTTTGCGAGTATAAAGTATTCCAAAATAGCCACAGGATTCATATTCGAAACTGGATACATATTTAACCATTCTTGTAATTCCTCAATAGTTTCGAAAGGAACAAGAGGTCTATAACCATTCAGAACCATTCCCAAAACATTAACAGGTGCCAAACTAGCATTTGCTCCAACTTTAGACGAAACTGTATAAGGAGTCAACTCAAAGAAAAGTTCCCACATGATTATTCCAAAAGAATAAACATCCATCTTGGTCGCCCTACTAATTTTCGACTCGTGTGAAATCTCCAAACTGTCATTTGTCAATTCTTGTTCATTTCTCATTAATTCTGGACTCGCATAAAATAAAGTTCCAATTCCACGTGTCATGGTATTTTGTGTTAAATTTCCAACACTTCTACTCAATCCAAAATCACAAATTTTACATCTCAAATCTTCGTCTAAAAGGACATTTCCTGGTTTGAGATCTCTGTGAATAATGGCAGGTTGTAGAGAATGCAAATAATCCATTCCAGCAGCAATGTCCTGGAGGAGGAGAATCTTTTGTTGGAATGTGAGATTAGTCTTGCCATTTCTGCAATTGAAAATTAATCTTTCCAATGAACCATTTTCCAAAAATTCAGTGACCATGTATCTTGTTTCATCGGTGATACACACTCCGTAGAATTTCAAAATATTGGCATGTTGTAAACTTGCTAAAATTGAAGCTTCCTTCTCAAATTCCAATTGTAGCTCTTCATCATCTGCCAAATTTTTCAATGACTTGACAGCAACACTTGTTTCCTTAAATAAAATTGCCTTATAGACAACTCCTTGTCCACCTTCTGATATCTTTTTTACAATTTCCAAATCCTCAATGTTAATAATTATTGCTTCCAATCGAGATTTCATTTTCAATTCCATTTCATTTTGGCTTAATAGGGGTGAAGTGAGCGAGGTGGTATAGTAGGTCGAAAGAGGATCCTCTGCATTGCCAAATATCACTCTCTTATCAAGAATCTTTCTCGCAATGCTCTTCTCTGCTCTTTCCTTTCTCGATAACTTGTTGAGTCTTGCACGAATTTTCATTACAATGTAAATGACAAGAGTGGAAGAGATGATTCCCAAAATGAAGAATAGGATACTCGAAGGAATGGCTATTCCTAAAATTAATCCCAACGATACTTTCTCTTTTGGAATGCACGAGTATCCAATCGCTGGAATACTTGTAAGAACAAGCTCTGTATCTGTTGGACAATTAACAACTTGAATGGTTAGTGAGTTTGATTCCTTGAGTGGATATTTAGCCCATCCAATTGTTATATTAAACATGGTGGATAATCCCTTCTTGATGGATGCTTCAACAGAAAGCATTGTAATATTGACACCATCAAATGTTGGATTCACAATAAAAGTATAATCTGGATTAGTGACATTTACGTACATATTATCAACATTGACTGGTATTACCATCTCTGAAGAAGTGGCCATTGCACTAATAAAAACTTGTTGTCCTGGATATAAATAGTAAAACTGTCCATAATTTGAGCTATTAAGACTCAATGAATTTTCCAATAAAAAATAATCATCTCCAAATATGTCAGCTCTATTTCCAATAAAACGATTATTTGTTAATGAAGTTTCAGCTTTTTGAAATTGATAAATGGCTCCTCCAGCTCTCTGAGCTCTATTATTCCTAAATGTACAATCTCTAATCGATGCCAATGCCTCTTTCCAATAAAAGAGAGCTCCTCCATTATAAGCATAATTGGATTCAAAGGTTGCATTCTTAATAGATAATGAATCAACACTTAAAGAGGATAATATAAAGATTGCTCCTCCATTTCCCATATAAATCTTGTCAGTTGGCAGAGAATTACTATAGGTAACTCTATTTCCATAAAATAGAGAACCTGTCAATGATAAATCAGTTGCACCTAAGATGAAGATTGCTCCACCAGATTTCTTTGCTGTGTTATTCCTAAATATGGTATTGGAAATTTCTAGACTCTGTGTAGTTGAAATGAAAATAGCTCCTCCCAAATTTGGAGAATAATTATCTTGAAATAGAGAATTTTCAATTAAGGTAACGACCAATTTGGTTTCTTTTGCCATTGAATCAATATAAATAGGAGAACCTAATCCTCTGGTGAAATTCGATTCCTTAATATAAAATTTCAAGATATCCGAAAGGTAAAACGTCGAAGCTCTTTCTCCCTTATTAGAATCAAATTTGCTATTCATCACCCTTAATGTATCCACTACAAATAATGAGACAGGTGCTTGATAAGTTATTAGAAACTCAGTATCATAACTCAAAGTACTAAAAGAAGAACTAGACGAAATTTCACAACTTTCAAACTCTACATTGGTGCTAATTCTAATAGAAAACCAAATACCTCCATTCAGCATTCTACTTTTCCAAACTCTGACCAATCCAGTATTTGCAATCACAAAAACTGGATCACTCTTCATTGCCACTGAAAATGTGCAATTTTCAATTAAAATATTATCAGCAAAAGAAATTGAAAAAAAAGCCAAAGTTTCCTCAAATATTGAATTATATAATGATAATAAAGATGATTGTTCTGTGTTGATGATAAAAGATTGAGTTGATTGAATATTCGAAATGTAGAGCTTATCTTGTTTCGTTCCAATTAGAATATTCATTGTAAAGTAGAGAATTTTGGAATTATCAATTCTTGATAATTGAATAGAATTTGTTGTGAATTTAAATATATAAACATTTGAATATTCCAAGATAAATAAATTTAGAGAAGTGAAATCTGAAATTAAATTTACAATTTTCACATTCGAAAGTAAAAAACCTTTCGCATAGGAATCATAAATTCTCACATTTTCAATTCCAATATTTGCAAAATATAAAACATCAACATCTTTTCTATCCACATTCAATAAATTCAAATTATCTACTTGACATTTAACTGTCACTTGTTTAGTTTGGTTCGGTTGACCAGAAATTTTAATCCAATAAAACAAGCCAGTGAGTGGTGAACGTAGGATTGTGGGTGGTGACGAACAATCGGCTAATAAATCATTCATCAAAATTATTTCGACTGCAACTATTCGATTCACAAAATAGAGAAGGAAATTTATATTATTCGAAAGGTCGATATCTAGTCGGGTGAATACTTGATGAAGATTTACGCAAGGAGTGTCTAGAGTACAGTTTAGACTTGAAGATTCGAATGCAGTGGCCGAATTCACATAGTATGTGAAATTTAAATAGGGAGCTTTCGAATAGGATTGAAAAAACTGTTCTGCTTGTTGTGCCTTGTTTTCTAATGGAAAGAAAAGAAAGAAAGTTATTAGAATAATGATGATGAAAAAGGTGTGATGGGTTTCTAATAGTTTCATTTTTTTGACGAAAGCTCTTTGAACTTCACTAATAATTTTTTTAATAGCCATTTTATCCTAAATAGAACTTTCACTAGTATTGGATTTAAATATCTGCAAACCAAAAAATAAACAAATTAGAAATATGGAGTTGATGAAATTTCAATTGAATATTTGGACGAATGTTATTTATTCTAGGTCTTGTTGAAAACCAAGCAAATGAGAATTGTCAATTGTTGATCTTTTGCGTTGAGAGCCTAACAGATGGATTGATGAAGCAATTTCTTCAATAATGGAATGTTGAGAAGCTTTCGAATAAGTGCAGCTGGTTTCGTCTAGAGTCGTTCTATGTTCCAACGCTACTAAAGAATTCACCTCTTCCATGCATAGAACCAAAACCTCCACCTTTACCCTTCGATTCAAACTTTGGTTGTAAAATATCCACTCATTCGAAAGCGCTTGCGAATCTTGCAGTTTCTCCACCTTTCTATCTCTGAAATTTTCCACAAAATTTGGAATTTGTTGAACCCCAACAGAATTCATCGTTTCTGCACTCTCAAAATTCAGGAATGCTCCAATTTGATCCTGATGAATCATTTTATGAATCAAATTTCTATTCGAAAGCTCCAAAGACTGCTCACAATCAGCAAATAATTGTAACTTGATTTGATCCAGTTCAGTATCTATGAAATTTCCCCTTCTATCCTTCAATTGAATATTCTTGAATAGAAATGTTGAGATTGTTTCACAAAATTGATTCGATTGTACAAATTCCTGAACGCATTTCTCATAATTTTCTGAAATGTTGAAGATTATTCCACTTTCTTCATCCACAATTTCAACCATTGAATAAGGATTGGTTGTTGCTGCTGTATTGGAAATTATGGACAATGAAGAGTTGACTAAGGATTGAAAATGAGAGTTGGAACTATTCATGGTTTTGCATCTTGTGTCCATCGTGTTCATTCTGGATTTGTATGGAGAAACCATTGGAAATGAGCCACTCACACATCGTCTCAAAAGTGTCAAGGCAGAATAAAGTGTTCCAGCCAGTTTATCCTTTCTTCTCAATGTGGTGGATAGTACTGTTTCCATATTTGGTGTAATAGTATTTGGAACTTGAATCTGTCCACAACCTAAGAGGGAATCCTTGGAGAAGAATTTGGATTCCATAATTGAAACTCTTATTGAAAGGTTTTGACAATTATGAACATGATTCAAATTGAAAGTTAAAGTTGAATCTATAGTTAAGGAAAGAATCTTCATTTCATCATAATTGCCAGCAAATGAGGAAGGTGAAGAGGCACAATCATCATTATTAGTGGACACAAGTGTTGGACATATGGAAATTTTAATAGGTTTACTCAATGGTACTTCGTGTTGTTCACAAGGATTGTCTTGTTGTTGTTGTTGTTGTTGTTGATGGGGCAACGAAGCGAACAACTCTACTAGACAATATAATCGCTTGGAACCAACACTTTGATTCTTCTTCTTCTTTCCAATAGATTCTTCTGCTGTTTGGAAGAAACAATGATGCAAATGCAACGAGATGAGGTCACCATTCAAAAACATTTTTTATGAGTTGGAATTTATGAATCATCAGTTCTTCTTTATCACCTACTTATAATGTTGTTTGGGTCACTTATTTTGTTGTGATTGTCAAATATCATACCTTACTTCAACTTCCAAATTTGTAAAGTGATAATACCAAACCTACTACTTCCCTACTCTGAAATCAAGCAAGTTGCGTCGCTCCATCTTCCACTTGATGGTCTCAAAGTCCATTCAGAGAATCTTTTGAATGAATCTGCACAAATTAATTGGGTAATCTGCATTTGTAATTTATCAAATAAGTCTAATTGTGCATATCCATTCTTGATTTTTTCATATTCACTTTCGTAGACTGCATGGGATATATTAAGGAAGGTGTTTGAAGATTTTTCGAGATACTTGCTGATTATTTCCTGTTGTTTCTTTCCTCTGTCTATGGTTGTACTGGTTGACTTGTATGCTCGAACTTCTTCCAAGAATGCTAAATTCTCTGCACTTTTTTCCTTCTCCAAGAAGATTCTAAATAATGAAAGGAGAGTTGGATTATTGAACATGTTTTCAAACTCTTCAATGTTTCTCGCCTCATCAACAGTTCTTCTTCTGGTTAGGGCAGTTCTAATATCCTTTTTTTGCTCCGTTATTTTCATGACTAGAACGTAGGTATCGACTGGTTTACCACAAGAATTTGAAACTTTTGACTTGGTAATGTTGATAGAGACTGGCACAGGTGTACTCAGTGAAGAGAGCAAATTAGTCTCCCATCTTGTCTCAGAAATTAATAATTCATCAAATTTTTGTAGTAAATCCTTAAAGGGTAGCTTTTCTTGTAAGTATTGGACTATATTATAGATTTGAGAGGAATTCTTTGCTTTTCTGGCTATTTTAGACTCGAAGGAGGTATTGGCAGATATGATTGAACCGTCACAAGCGTCTATGAAAGCTACAAGCTCTGGTACAGAATTCATTACGCTTCTATTCTTATGTTCCTCAATAGAAGCCCTTTCCAACAGCTTTTTGATTGATTTGTTGTCCTTTTCCAATTTCTTTTGATTTAGATCCAATACATCGAGCATTCCATTAATGAAAAAGGTTAGCTCTCCAACTTCATCCTTATATTTCGATATTAGTCGTTTTGTAAAGTCAGAAGTCTGAATAATTGATTTAACAAATTTTGATACTACCAAAATACGTCTAATTACAAACAGCTCTATAAAAAAGATCATTACTACTAATGATACAAATATAAATAACCACGATACAAAAATACCCAAAAAACAAGATTCCCAAATGATTACAACGTACTCTCTTACAACATCTGATCTTAGGACAACAGTATATTCCCCATAAAAATCAGGAATCATATGATATGAAACAAGCCTCTTTCTTTTTGAAATTATGCTTGGAAGGTCTTTGTCTTGAGTGCAAACACGAAAATCAGTCTTGAGATCATCGAGCAGAACTGTATTTGAATCCAAAGCGAAAACCTTGCTTTGACCATACTGATATCTAACCTCTATTTCATTCGATATTTGAAGAAATACATTTGAGGCATTTCCTTCAAATGATGTACCAAGTGATTTTCCTAAAAGAGACAACTCTGATTGATTTCTCAAATTGAATACAGTGATACACGAGGATGTAAAGGAAGAGATTGGTTCTAGTCTATCCAAAGTAATGTACCTTCCAAACATTAGTACATATGGCACACCAAATGTTTTCATAATGGAAATCATGAGAATGTGAGTGCTGTTAGTGTGAGGTTCAGCAGTCCCAAGAAATATTATTGGATTCTCAACATTAATGTATCCAGATTTGATAATTTCATCCTGTAGATTGTTCTTATTAATATCCAAAGGTAAAGTCAAAACCTCTTTAGGAGGTTTTATAGGCTTTCCATTATGACATGCAGAAAGGTATGTTAATTCACTCGAATAATTGTAAATTCCAACAATATCAACTCCAACAATATCCAATCTTGGACAATTGAATAACTCTCCAAATATTGATATTGTTCCTCTTCAGTAGTGGTACTCTCTTTGAAATCTATAGCTCTATTATGTCCATACTCGTATAACTTTGATTCTAATTTGTGCATCTTATTGAGAAATGTAACAGTTCCTGAAATACCCATCGATTGACCTTTTGTTGCCTCAACATTATCTGAGGCATATGCAGAGAAAATTGCAAGTAGTCCAAACAAGAAAATTGTCAGTAGTACCACAAAAACAAATAGACCACTCCAAACACAAACTCTCAAATTCATAAACATATCCTTCCAAATGTTTTGTTGCTGTTTAATCCTCTCTTGATATTTGGCAATGAAAGCAGTGATAGAATACTGCTTACTCACCTCATCAGAGCTTGGATTACTTCTCGGTGTCAATGTCGAAGGAGCAAACAAAGAAGGAGATGCTACCTTCTCAATCAAGAGAGGTCCCACAGAGACTGGGGATTGTGGCGAACCCACTCTAAACATTATTTCTTGTTGTCCATTCATACTTTGATTATTATTACTATTATTATTGAATTTGTTAGTGTTGGGTGTTGTTGGTTCATCTCGACTGCTTTGAATAGTTAGAGGTGATGAAACATTTCTCCTCCTCGTGTAAACATCGACCATTCCTGATTGGATGGGTGTTGAAGAAGAAAGAGGTTCCACTGAAAAACCAAACATCAAGTCGCTTCCTGTGGGTGATGATGAAGTTAGAGGATTCTGTTGTTCCTCTTCTTGTTGTACTTCTATGAGAATGTTTGTTCTTCCATATGATGATGATGATAAGGATGAAACCAAATCTTGTTGTTGTTGTTGTTGAATAGCATGCAATATATTACAACTTGTGGGTGTTGATGTTGAACCCGAAGCACACTCCAATATTATATTATTAATATTAATTGTTGTAGCCTGAACATTGTCCATAATATTATCATCTCCACCAATGCTGCTACCACAACCATCATCATCAACTCGACAACAACAATCTGTCTGCTTTCCTTGTTCAGACATTTTGAATTGGTTGATATATTATAATTCATACGTTGTCGTCAGTAGCGGCAAATAACAAATACGTTGTATGATGCTGATGTCTCAATTATTACGAAGATAGAAGCATCGATTTCATCTCTCATCAGTATAGGGAAATGTGTGATGATAGAAAATCTCTCGCTTGGATTTTAATATCTTAAGCTATAAAATAGTAGAGAAGGAGATGGAATAACATGACGATTTTATTTTTTTAATAATATTTTTTTAAACACTTTACAAAATCTTAAACCTTTAATATTAATGTTACTATTACATCTATTTTTATATAATATTACAAAAAAAAATTTCTCTTCGATATTACTTTCATCACGTTTTACTTGAACAAATAACAACAATATAATAATTAAAACAAAAACATGAATGTCAAACACAAGTATCCATGTACACATTGCAAATCGGAAGTTTATTTTCAACCATCGTCGACTATGGCATCCAATTCAGCAGCCCTCGATGATGGTTTTGTCTTTATTACATCAAATGATGGTGGTGGCGGACAAACACCAACCAACAATACAACAAGCCTAAATATTGAATGTAATCATAGCGGAAAGATTGAACGGATTGAAGATATTGAATATCTAACGGAGGATATATTGAGTTCCATCACTATAGGAGAGGATTTGAAAAAGAATACAAAATTATCAACGCTCATCAATGATCTGTATTTATGTAATACTTGTATGACTGATTTGTTTGGTGGACTTTCGGAGGAAATTGAACAATTAGAATTGGAATGTAAATTATATGATGAAAAATTGAAAAAATCGAAAAAGTTTGATACGAATGGAATGTACAAGAAATACATGAAGGAAATGGATGAATTGAGGAATGAAGAGTTGGTTCTCAGAGAGCAGGTTAATGTTATACAGAATGATAGGCATCGAATTGGAAGAAATATTACAAGTTTACAAACTGAATATAATACTCAACAGGAAAGCGAGAAGAATTATTGGAAAATTTATTTTCAATTCATTCATAATAATCAGTTCCTTGCAGAGGAAAATCGTAGAAAGAGTCAATTGATAGATAAGGAGGATAAAATTAGAAGGAAATCACCTCTTGCTGGCATGTTTCATTTGTGGTATGAAGGATCGTATGGTACGATCAATGGATTGAGAATGGGTCGTCTAAGACATGATCCTGTAAGTTGGGAGGAAATCAATGCTGCCTGGGGACTTGCAGTCTTGTTGTTAGATCTTACTGCCCAACAATTGAATAATTTCAAATTTACCAAATACAAACTGGTGCCAAAGGCCAGCTGTTCATCCATTAAGGAACTGGAGAGTGGAGACAAGTATGATTTATTCTTCTCTTCCACTAGAAACATTCAATCATTCAATGAGGGAATGAAATGCTTCCTATTCTGCCTTGAAGAATTATGTCAACATATTGGTATTGTAGTGCCAGGTTCCTCAATTGGAACTAGATTGATAGTCAAGGCCGATGAGGGTAAGATTCAAGACTTGAGCATGCTGTACAGTGTCGAAAGAGAATACGAGTGGACAAAGGCATTGAAGTATCTCATCATTAACCTCAAATTTGTACAAAAGAATGTAATCAAATAATTGTTGATTTCATTATTTATTAATACTTCTATGACATGTGTTTAGTATATTCACATACCTTCTACAAATAGATGTTTCATGTAATATTTTCGAATTTGGATTAAAAGAGAAATTGGAAATAGAATGAATTAATTTTGGACTTGTTATTTGCATATTTAGAAGTTTCTACTTTGGTATTTATGTCATCATTCACCTGTTTTGCCTTGTTGAATAGATCTTTGAAAAAAAACTTCAACATGCAACAACAACAGCAAACAACCAGCAGAAAATCAACAGTATCCTTCCAGGAAGAGAGCATCGAGTGCCAAGATACACCAGTGCTGGATAGACGAATGTCATTATTGGCCAAGGCGAAACGAAGGGTTTCTCTCGTTTTGAAAAAGAAAAGTCCACAAAATGCAACACCCGATAATGATAATCACCAACAACAAGAAAAGATAACACCACGAAGTGATTCGAATAGTACTGGGAATTTTGACGCAGATTCATTCTATTCGAATGCTGGTTCGACAACTTCATCTTCTACACTTTCGAATAGTTTTTCATCACCAAGAAATGAACGACCAAGGTTCAGTTTTGCTTCCCTCTTTCCTACATTTACGTGTCCATCAGGAAACACCAAAAAACTGGAAGTTTCAGCAGATTTCGACAAGATGAAACACGAACGAATGCTACGAGTGAAATACTATGAAGATCAATTGGAATTTAAGAAAGTCAAAAGTATAACCAACACGAGCAGAGACAATTTCAAAAACAAATTGAAATCTAGAAAGAGTTTCCACACTTCAACAATTTTGAATCAACCCAAGCAAGAAACCATATCAACAAACGAAACTAATATTACAACACTAATTCATAGAAATTCGAAAAAGTGGAATTGGACCTTTTACGAAATAATTCAATAAAAATTGCAAACCAATTCCAACCTTGATATCATCGTGGGAGATTTTCTCTAAAACAAAGCAAATTGAGATGAAGTAGTTGATGGTTCCAATAATGAAATTTCAATTTGATTAATGCTTGTTTCATCAGCCTTTTCATTATTTAAAAATATTTGTAAACCAAATTGTAAAAATTGAAGCGATCAGATCGTGAACTTGCATTAGAATTGTAATGAAGCAACAACAACCCAGTGTGGTCTAATGTTAAGATAGATGACTTTGTGATGAGGTATAATCTACCTTGTTAAATTCATCAGATCCAGGTGCAAGTCCTGGCATTGGGTATTTTTGTTTAATTATTAAAGCGTGACTAAAACAGGACTAAATACTCTAGATCTTTTATTTGTTGCACAAAAGTTGTAAATCAAGCAGCGGAATTTGTTTGAAAATTTGCTGAACCAAGTTTTTTGTTTTGCTTTTCTATTTCAAGGTAATCATCCACCATTCGTTTAAAAATAGAAAAACAAAAAGAAAATAACAAAACAACATGTTGAGCTTAATTTCCCACAAAAGAAAAGTTTCTCTCTGCCCAGATGAAGTCAATCAAGTTTTGGAATTTGCCAATCTCACCGATTTAAAAACTAATTTGAAACTGTCTCAAGTCAACCGTGAATTTCAAGCTCTCACTTCCTCTGATGAATATTGGAAGGTAATCTATTCTAAAGATAAATCACTCAAATATGAACGAAACATTCCTCAACACAATTACAAGGAAAATTATCTTTCCTTAAAGAGTGAACAATATCTCAGAAAGAAAAAATACGAATACGAAAAGAAATCAGAAAGGAGAACACGAAATGCGTGTTGCACCTATTGTTTTCTAACAATTTTATTGTTATTCACAATTGGTATTTTTGGAATTGTATATGGTGGTCTTGGATTTACAAATGAGGTAAAATGTGGAAGAATATTGCTAAAAACGGAAAGAATAGAAATAGTTCATCCTTGTTTTCCAAGCACTCCTAATTGTACCCAATCCATTACCTTCTTATTGAGATACACCTTACTAGATTATGTTATCTCACACTCAAATGAGCTACTTTACAACTCAACTCAAGTCTACGAATGTCAAGAATCAAAATGCCATCCGGAAGAGCACATAATCCCTGCACACCCCTGTCTTTTTGATCCAGTCACCAAAACTCAGACATATTTCTCTTCGTTAAGTGCTTTAGTTTGGATTCTTTTTGGTATTTTCCTTGTAGGTGGCAGTTGTCTTTGTTGTAAATCTTTTGGAGAACTATTCTTGGGTATAGATTTTTCAAACGAACCTTGCATGAAGGTGTAATATAAGTATATTTGATATAGACCTTTCTTTTTAATGTTTTCTATGTGTGAGGAATTATCATAATTATGGAGAGCTATCTCATACCATCATTTTCAGCTTCACAATGGAACATAAATTTGTCCAATAGATTTCCTTCTTTTTCATCAATTGACTTTCCCTCATAGTATGGATCTTCACTATATGAGTGTTCATAAGAAATGCTATTCAGTTTTTTCAAATATGGTGAATTGACAATATATTGGACACAATCATTTCCAGAGTTTGTTCGAGTAATGTCTAATCGTGTTAAATTTTTCATATTTGGGCTCTGAGCCAGATACTTTACGCCTTCGTCGCCAATGTCTGTATATTCAAATTCCAATTCTTCAATACTGGCTGCATTCTCACTTGAACACATAATTCTAACTCCTTCAGCATCAAAACTACATCTATCCAAAATAAGTCTCTTGAGCTTTTTTAAATATGGACTTGATGCAAAATATTTCATTCCTTCATTTCCAATACTTGTCATTCCAATATCTAGATCTGTAAGATTTGAAAAATTGGGACTTTCACACATTAATTTGAATCCTTCATCACCACCCAAATCTGTCATTTCAAGTTTGACCAGTTTTGAAAATTTGGGATGACTTGATAATATTTTGATACCTTCAATTGTGAAACCATTCCAATAGGATATCAAAGTATTCAACTTATTGAAATTATTGCTTTCTGCTATAATTTTCAAACCTTCATCATCTGTCCTAAATCTATACAAATCCAACCATTGTATATTCTTTGAAATGTCCGAATTTGCAACCAATTGCAACATTTCACAACTTGTTTTAACATTGCTTTCATAACTTGTAATTGCAAGTGTTTTTAGCTTTTTAAAAGATCCACAATTGACCAATATTTCAACATGATTTCTTGATGGCTTGAACAATGTCAACCCCGTTGTAAACTGACTCACCAAACTATTACAATATTCTTCAAAATTATTTTCATAATCAAGATTATAAAAACTCTGCGACTGGTCAATAAAATTATCAAATTCCAAAGCAATCCGAAACCATCTCTTGCAAGTGGGCATAATTTCCGAAATTAATTGCGACAAGGAACAAAATTGGAAAATATTTGTGAGCATGTCATCATGATCAAGAGTGTGAAAAAGTGCTGCTGTTTCTTCTTGCGACATTTTTTTTTTAAAAGTTTTATTTACAATAAATTGGCTTTGGATCCATAGCCACGTGTCTACACGATGTTTATGGTGCACATTATGTTTCTTGGTTACTTTTATGGATGATAACCTACCATGATTACCAGATCCATAAATATCTTCAAAATTTGTCAATTAAATTGTTGTTGCTCATATAAAACAAATTCGAAACAATAATCAAGGCAAATATTCCTAAAGCAAGTTTAGAATTCTCCTTACTGACTGGTCCATGAAAATCATGTTCGATTTTGAAATTTCATTTACGAATTATCAACTAGATAATTTGAGGTCAACTGGTTGGAAATCAGAACAGTATATTGAAAACAACTAACGAAAATACTCATGCTAAATGACATTTTATTGTTGTATTCAAAAGATATATGAGTTTCTTCTATCGCATACTATCACGGAATAGTTATACTTTTAGAGTTGGTTTCTTCTTGAGTCCAATAATTAGGATAGTTATCCATTACCTTTTACAAAACCTTAATAAAATGAACGTTCACAATTGTAAAGCGGATTAATTGTCACTTGCGGAGTATGAAAAATGTTTGCGCAAAAGTGAATCATTCAAAAAGTCACAAATCAACTCAACCAGACGTTTTTACTTTTCACATTCAAAAACAAAAAATGCGACGAGAGGACTGGTTGGTCCAAGCAACATGCGTTTTGTTCCAATTGTTGGCTACAGTACTATTGTGTAGTACTACTAACGGCCAAACAATCCAAGACGATCTCTATATTGTCCCAATTGCAAAAATCAATGTTCCAGAATATGGATCAGTATCATTCTATCCACAAGTCTACTACTTTAATTCAAGCTATTCTTCAAGTTCATTGCAAGTCTCTTACTCGATGGCAGATGGCTCAGCATTGAAAAGTGGCATGACAGTTTTGAATGGTGTATTGAACTTTTATTCAAATCCTGCACATGTTGGTCAACTCAGTGTGTTGAGAAATGTATCTTATTATAATAGTGAAAACAAGTTTATTACAATTTCACATGTGACCATATTTCAAGTCATTCCAACACCAACACCAAATCAATTATCCTTACTATTTTCAGATGATTTTTTAGGTGGTGATTTATCTAAATGGTATTTATTAGATGGCACTATGAAACTACAATCAGCTCAACTAAATATTTATCAAAACAATACGAAACTTGTGACTGTTAACAGTTTTGATTTAACTAATCAATTGGGTGTAACCTTTACATTCAATTTATTGACCACATGGACAGCTTCTAGAGGAATTCTTATTTATGTGGACAAGTTGAATTATTATGAAATTAACTTGTCAGGTTCTTCTTTTACTATTACTCGTTGTGTGAATGGAAACCCAACAGTGATATTGCAAAGCACCAAGCTATTACAAGTTCATGCTGCAAATTATTATTCAAGTTATAAGGTTTATTTACAATATACCAAAGAAGGAATGATAATTACTATTGCTAAAATTGGAATATTGGCAAGTGATTATGTTCTAAATGTAGTTGATAGTTTTACTAATATTGATGTATTCAAAAGTGTTAAATTGGGTTTTTATGAAAAAACTGTCGACTCTCCATCTCAATCAAATTTCAAAGTGTTACAATGTAAAGTTTACAATGGAAAATTAATGCATTCCAGACAAGGTGTAACTTATCACGTTGATGGTAAAAATGGTAATGATTTGAATGATGGTCTTTCTAGTTCAAGTGCCTTCAAAACATTGAATACAGCTCAATACCAATTATTACCTGATGACACTCTATTAATTCATGATTCAATCTATAGAGAAAGCTTTCAAATTAATAGACAAGCATCCGTTGACCATCCAATTACTATCAAAGCATTTAATCAACCAACCACAACATCCACTTTTACAACAACACCTTACACTCACACAGCTATTCTTGACGGATCGCTTGTTTTGGATAATTCTAAATTTAAAAAAATTACCAATTCAAACATTTATCAAATTGCACTGAAATTTACACCAGATGTTGTCTATCAAGATAATGTTAAAATGAGCTTGGCAATGAAACCACTTCCAAGTAATTTACAAGATGAATATTTTGTTGACAATTACATTCATCCTAAAAACAATTCAATTCAATCATCATCTGATAATTCAATGATTTATTTACAATTGGATGACATGTTCAAATATGATCAATTTGGTAGCCAGGCTCCAGATGATTTCTGGGTTGGTGCCATCTTTTATCAATTTTACAAGGCAGGTGTCTATGTTATAACACGTAAAATAGTATCATATAATGCTACTACTAATACCATTGGATTGCTTTATAATGACTTGCCTGTTGTAACAAGTGATTCGTATGCTATTGCTAATCATATCGGTTGCTTTTCACAAGCTGGCCAATACGTTGTGAATACGAACTTTATTTCAGTTTCATTAAGTACTGACCCTACCGTATCTCAAACAATCCTGGAGGTTTCTGCACTGGACAATGGTGCTAAAATTGTTAATGGAATGGAGGGAATTAACCTTCAAGGTTTAATGGTTAGAAAATATCTAAGTGATGGAATTGTGTGTTCTGGTGGTTGCACAAATTTGGTAATCAGTAATTGCTCTGCCAAATATAATGGTGGATCTGGTATTAGTTTAAGTTATTCCTCAAATCTACTAGTTGATGGTGGTGAAATGTCACAAAATTTCAACAATGGAGTTAATTTTGGAGGTGCTGTAAAAGATTCCACAGTACAAAATACCTATACTCACAGAAATATTAATAATGGTATTTGGGTTGGTAATGCAGGAACACCTCTATTCTATTGTGTGAATATTCTATTGAAATCTAATAAGGTTGGTCCTCAAAATAGTGAAAGACTTCATCCAGATAACATTCAATTGGCCAGTGCTGATAATATTACACTCGAATCGAATATATTAACACAAGATGGTGATCAAAATATGTGGATGGATAAGAATGGTCTTGTAATATTTAAGAGAAATATTATCATTGGTGGACCACTTGGTGTTAATAATGCACAGAGTGTTGTAATGTTCAACAATGTGTTCTATAATTCTTATTTGAGATTTGCTGTTGCACCAGTTGGTCCATTTGTTGGACTTGATAATATTGCTGATTGGTCTGACATGTTCAATAGTATTACAGATACCAATTCACAATCTATTGCAAATATTCTTGTATGGTCAAGTATGAATTCACAATTATCGTCTACTATCAAATCCTATTCATCTTACAAATCATTAACAACTGCAGATAAGACTGCTATTATTGATCAAATTAACAGTGTTATCAATAATACTTCTTTTATGGCACAATTTAAGGATGTAGTAATCCCTTTTTTAGGAAAAGAGCATGTTGTGGCCTATCCATACTGGAATGCTATGACTAAACGAGGATTGATGGATAAATCAACTGGTAAACTCACAAACAGCAATAATGAAACAATTTACGAAGCTAAAGGTTTAACACGTGCTATTTTGGATGAAGTTTTTGATGGAATTATTTACAAAGGTCCAATTACCTTCTATCCAAGAATTGTTTCCATTAAGAATAATGCTTTCATTGAATCATTTTTACAATTACCTTCCACAACATACAGCTTACTACCATATTGGGAATCCAATTTCAATTATATTGAACAACCTGCCTCGTATCATGCCAATATTTGGAAAGCATTAGCTGGCCCTAATACTGTATTCGAAACATCAGCTAAAAACACTACTCTCTACTTTAAGAATATGACAGCATATGATTTCCACTTGAATTGTAATTCAAATATTACACTTATTGACAAAGGAACCAATGTTGGTTTACCATATTATGGTCAAGCACCTGATATTGGACCTTATGAATCCAACTGCAATAATGAAATCAATCCAGTCAATCCAGTCACTCCAAAACCTTCCATTTCAACTAATCCTCAAATCTCAGCAATTGCTTCACCAAAACCAAATCAGTCACGGGTTGTTTCTTCAACTACAATGCCTGAATGGAAAGTGTTCTATTTATTGATTGGTTTGATTATCTCAATGCTTGTGCCTTAATAAATCAATTCGAATTTCATTTATTATTTCAAAAATTGCAATCTAATCCGTCAAATAAACCAGTTCCCTGCTCAGCACTTCAAGGTTGAATACCATTTACATTTTCCAGAGCTGGATATTCTCTTACTCGTTTAGATTGCCTAATCGACAAAAAGCTGTAACATTAATCAGAAAGAAAAAAACACGTGTTCGCTCTTCCTCAAATCAACTTTAAAAAAAATGGATGGACCACAGTGCAATACCAAGTTGATGGTTTTTGTGGGTTTTTGGATTGTGTTGATGGTGATTACTGTTTGTTGCTATGCAGAAAACGAAAGCGATGGAACCTATGCTGAAATTGGACTTTCGATTGGAAATACGAATTGGAGAGCTGCTGTTATGGTAAATGGCAGTTTGGAATGGATTGTGGATAGGAATGGAAATGTAGATCATCCCTCTTTTGAAAATATAAACAAGATTATTGTGAGCAATTATAAAATAATTAAAAGCAGAGATGGTTATTTATTGGAATCGAATAACAACATTTTTGAAAGAAATGGAACAGTTTATTGTAAAGTTAAATTAGATGATGGAATTGAAAAGGAAATGACACCAGAGGAAATTTATTCGGATATTCTACATGATGTGAAAGAACTTGCTTTCCAATATTTGAAACGAAACATTACACATATTTTCCTTTCAGTACCAGCATATTTTAAACAAACTCAAGAAGATTATATCATACGAAACGCAGCTTCAAAACACAATTTAACAATTGTAAGATCTGTTCGAGATCCAATCATGGCTGTACTAGCTCAAGACCATTTCCAAAAGATCAATAACAATTATACGAACGATTCAAACGATGAAAGAACTTTTTTAGTTGTGGATTTGGGAATTAGATCATTGGCTTTAAATATTGTAAATGATGATTTTGGATTTTATGAAATACTTGCTTCAGAATCCTATGGTCAATTGGGAACTGAAAGATTTCATATGAAACTGAGAGAATTATTCGTAAAAGAGTTCAAGAAACAACATTTATTGAATGAACAATCAAATATTTTGGAAAATCAACAATTAATGAATTATTATTAAGGCAAGCTGAAAAATCAATGATTTCCCTTTCAAAAGAAAATTCTGTGCGAGTGAATATTCCATCTTTATTCGATGGAAAGGATTTCACATTCGAATTGACCAGAGAAATATTTGAAAATCAATGCCAAGACCTACTTGAACAAATAGCAGCCTCTGTTTTTCGGCTATTCAATCGATCAGATGTATTCGCAGAAGAAATTTCACAAGTGATTCTTTCTGGAGGTGGAACACTCAATCCTTCAATAAGGAGTGCAATTATTGATCGATATTTCAAAGATGGAAATGTTTCGAATATTTTACAAGCATCAACCATAGGTGCAGCTCTTCAAGCAGCTGTAGTATATGAACCATTCCAAACTGTTTCTTTAATACTGGCACCATTTTCTCTTGGGATTGAGAATTCTGACAGCCAGTTAGTGAAAATCATTGAAAGAGGAACAGTTCTGCCAACTGTCAAGAAGATGGTCTTTTCTAGTGAAAGAGGATTTCTTGATTCTGTTGATTTTTGTATATTTGCTGGTGATAACATTTATGAAATGGAAAAGAATATTCAATTAGGTCAATTGACCCTGGAAGGAATTGAGTTGACTAAAAAGGGGAAAGCTCAAATTGAAGTTTCTTTTGAATTAAGTGATAGTTTCATTCTCAATGTTACTGCCACTGATTTAACAACCAAAGTAAAGAGTGAAAAGATAATTTCTTTGGAAAAGTTAGAAAGTAATAGGGAACTCACTAACAAACTTGAACAGGATGCTACGAAAGATGGAGAAGAGAAGGAAATAAGAAAATTACTCCATACTTATAATTCACCAAGTGTTCTCCATGAAGAATTGTAAATAGCCAATTCAATTACAATAATAGATTAGTTTATTTCACTTTAGTATGGACAATATACGGTATGGTCAACTAGACTCCATTTGATTGAAAGGAGTATTTTCCTTTGAAAGGAAGATAATGTGGATCACCTAAAGCTTCACATTTCTAACAGACAGACGAATCAAAAAACAAAGTGTTTGTATTTCATTTTTCGATATAATTTCGTTTCGATTGGTTTCGAATATTTGTACTCCATTGATAGGTTCATACAACCGAACAATTATTTCAATAATCCATACTTTACAATATCAAATTCCATCAAAATGGCGAAAAAGAAGAAAACTATAAAAAAAAATGTCTCTTTCATCATTACCCACCGAACTCTTCCTAATCATTGCTGATTTCTGCTCTTCCGATGATTTGACGCTCCAAAATTTCTCACTTTTATCACAATGCACCTATCGGGAGATTTATTTAAAGCATCGGAAGATGTTTCCCATTAGAATGAAGAGATCTATTATGAATTACAAAGGAATAAGATGCTTTCTGTAGCTAAATTTAAGAGAGGTAAATAAGAAGTGTTAGCTATTTAATAATATGTAATAATATATTAAATAGCTAGATCCGATGATGAAGATAAGGAAGATGAAAATTATAATTCTGATGATGGTGATGAAGATGATGAGAAAAACAAGAATCGGAAGAGAAAATGCAATTTCAAGACATTTCTGATTATATCATGAAAAAGAAAGCTTTTATGGAAGCTCAAGAAACTGCAAAAAGTAAATTATTTGATAAGTGGAATGAATATTTGGATATCGTCGAGAGTGGTTAATCAAATTGGACAATGAACTTTTGGCGTTTGATACCTATGCATGTTGTATTCATCGTAGTGTTGCAAATAACTTTATGGAACAGCACAACCTTAAACTCACAAAACCTCTTAAATTGGTAGAAATATTATTGAAATTACAACCATGGTTTTTCGATGACCAAGATGTGTGGGATTTTTTTAAACTGAACGTTATTATTAAGGAATAATTTATTTACAAATCAATTTCATCATTCTCTTCCATAATATCAAGAGTTTCCTCTGCATCTTCTCGTTTAGGTTTGAAAGCCATTTGCTTCTCAGCCAACTTTCTGTAAACACCATTCTCTATTTCAAGTAAGTCATCATGTTTACCCTTTTCTACTAATTTACCCTTCACAAGAACACAAATCACATCTGAATTCTTGATAGTTGACAATCTGTGAGCAATGCAAATAGTAGTTCTTCCCTTCATTAAATTATCCAATGCTTCCTGAACGAGTGCCTCAGATTCTGTGTCAAGTGCTGAAGTGGCTTCATCTAAAAGTAAGACAATTGGATTTTGAATTAAGGCTCTAGCAATGGCAATTCTCTGTTTCTGACCTCCTGACATGGAGACACCCTTCTCTCCCAATAGAGTATCATATTCATCTGGAAGATCCATGATGAAATTGTGACAGTTGGCAAGTTTTGCAGCATTGACAATTTGTTCATGTGTAACGTTCTCCAAACCAACAGCATAGGCAATATTTTCCTTAATAGAAGCAGCAAACAAGACAGGTTCTTGAGTGACAATACCAATTTTGTGGTGGATGAACATTGGATCAATTTCCAAAATGTCAACTCCATCAATGAGAATCTGACCAGCATTTGGATTATAGAACTTTTCAACGAGCCCAACAATGGTTGATTTACCAGATCCTGATGGACCAACCAATGCAACGGATTGACCTTGCTTGATATCAAGAGAAAAGTCCTTGAGAACTGTAGTATTTGGTCTTGCTGGGTATATGAAATCCACATTTCTAAACGAAATGTTTCCTTTCAAATTCTCAATTGACTTTCCTCCCTTGAATGGAATTTCTGGCTTTCTCTTAATCACCTTCAACAAGACGGCTTCACTCAAAATTGATTTGGTAAATTCTGGAAAGATAGCAAAGGTCTGAATAAGACTCATCACTGTCATGATCATCAAACCACAAACTTTGAAATAATCTCCGAGTGTTGTAAGGCCATCAACAACGTTGTAACCACCGTACCATAATCCAAGAGAGACAGTTCCCCAAACAATGAAAGTAACTGAGAGGAAAGCAACGCCAAAGCTAAGAGCTTTGAAGAATCCATATCTATTGACAATTGCCATTTGTTTCTTATATTTCAATTGTTCCTTAATTTCTCCTGTCATACTGCGAACCGTTTTGATAGAGGAAATGATTTCAGTAGCCATGGCCATACCTTTAGTACTTGCTTCGTTGGTTTTAGTTGTGAAATATCTAATGAATACACCCAAAACCATGATAACTAGGAATAATAGAGGTACAGTTGAAGCAATGACAAGTGACATTCTGTAAGCAGAAACTACAGCCATTACAAATCCACCAATAACTGTTGCACCGTTTTGAATAAGTGTTGAAACCTTATTTGTGTATGCATCTTGAATCTTGGCAACATCGTCAGACAATACAGCTGTCAATGCACCAACCTTCTTAATATCAAAGAATGCCATTTCTTGTGCTGTCAATGCATTGAAATATAATTCTCTAAGCTTTTGTCCAATTCTTTCATTAGCCCAATTGAAAAAGAAATGCAACATGAAATTGGCTATAAATGCACTTGCTGCCACAACTGTCAATTTCCATCCAATAGTATTGACACCAGCTCTTATTTGATCTTTAGTAGTTGAAGTGGAAGATAAAATGTTGAGTAAATCTCCAACAACAAATTGGATAAAGATTGAAATTACACCAGCACTACAGCACGTGTAAGAAACATTCCAATAATTTCATTCGAAACTTACCCAATAGCTCCAACAGCTCCTAAAAATAATAACAACAAATTGAATGATCCAAACTTGGACAACAAGTACAAGTGATCCTTTACACCAATCTTTGGATCCCTCACATCAGCAACTTCTTCAGTTTGCTCCTGTTCCTTTTGGATTCGTCTTCTTTCTTTCATTTTCTTAAATGGATTTCTAGAGAGACGAGTTGGTTGAGCAGGAAGTGGAGCTACTTGATTTTCTTCTTGCTCTGCAGCAAGATATTGTTCTGGAACTAAACCAGTTGTATCTGCAATCATTTCTTTTTTTTGAGTTTCAATAAGAAGAAGATTTGCAGCCACTTTTATAATTCGAAACAATTCGAAAGTTTAAAGTTGGAACCGGAATGTGGAATTGAAATGATGGTCCATTGTTAAGGGTTTATTAATCGGGTTAACGTTATAGTCGCGCTTACTGCAACTGATAACCAACTCAAGAGCGGAAGAAACGGTGGCGGAGGTATTGAATATGAAGATCTGTAGTTAACAACAATCAATGGTTATATGACCAAACAGTAGATAATATTGTGATAACTTGACCTCAATCCTTTGTCTGCATTTCCACCATTTTCAAATTGAAATTTCAATATATTTTATGTTTAAAAAAAATGCATCAAGAAAAGAACTTCACGGATGTGCTCATCTCTTTACATGATATTGATTCCGAAAGTGATAGTGTGAATTTATCTTGCTCTGAATTATTGATCAGCAAATTTCGGCAAACAATATCGGAAAGACTTAAACTAAACGAAAGTATTTATGAGCACATGAAACAACTGATAGAGTTGCATGGTGTGAACAAATGTATTCCTTTCGTTCGTGAAAATCCCTTTCCTGATAATGATTGCACCCTAGCCTTTTTCAAAATCCTTTCTTACTGTGGTTTATTATTGGAATTTGCATCCGAAAGAATACGAAACGATGAAACACTTGCATTGATTGCTGTACAGAATGATGTAGATGCCTTGATGGATGTGAGCATTAATTTGAGAGAAAATAGAGATTTTGCTTTAAAAGTTGTGCAATTAGATATTTCAAATAGTTACAAAAAGAGTACGATGAAATATTTGAACAAATTCAAAGACGATTATGAAATTGTGTTGAAGGCAGTTCGCCAATGTGGTATATCACTTGCAAATACAGCTATAAGATTGAGATATGACAAGCAAATAATTGAAGAAGCTGTCAAAAGTTGTGGAACAGCTCTATCCTATGTTCCAAAAGACTTTATCGATAGAAATTTGGTAATGAGTGCAATATCATCAGATGCAAAGGCTCTTCAATACGCCCTAAATTTTAAAAACGATAAGGAAGTAGTATTTGCTGCATTTCAAGTGGGTAAAGATTCTTTTCATTTTGCTTCGGATGAATTGAAATCAGATCGAGAATTTTGTATGAAATTGGTAAAGTTAAATGGCCATACGATTAGATTTTGTTCAGACGAGTTGAAAAATGATAAGGAGATGGCTATTATTGCTGTGAAATCAGACCCATATTCATATTATTGCCTGCCTCCAAATATGAAGAATGATAGAGAAATATTGTTAAAATGTGCCTCTATTGCTCTTTTTGACCTACCCTATGATATAAGTAGCGACAGAGAGTTTATGAATAGTTTACTAATTTCAGGAAAGCAATTATTGAACTTTTTAGAATATTCGGCATTGACAAGAGATTTTGAATTAGAACTCATTGGAAGCAATTGCAATTATCAATATGGTTTATTTGGAAGAATTAAAGAGGAAGAAGAACTATTCACAAGAATTGTTAACATAGATCCTTCTGCATTCATGTTTGCAACAAGTGATAATATTAGGAACAATAAGCAAATTGTTATGAATGCACTTTTTTATGAGGCAGAAATTCTCGGTAATATATCAGAGGAATTGAAAAATGACAGAGAATTGTTTGAGCTAGCCATTCGATTACATGATAATGTGCTTTATTATGCATCAATGAATTTGAGAAATGATAAAGATTTAGTAATGATGTCAATCGAATATGATGCCTTTTCCTTTCAATACGCCTCTGAAGAATTGAAAAACGACAGACAAGTTGCAGAGCTAGCAATAACGATCAATGGCCTTAATTTCCAATTCGCTTCTGAAGATTTGAGAAATGACAAGGAATTTTGCAAACTGGCGACTCGTAATTCTTACCATTGTTTAAATGAATATTTAGGTGCTGACATGAAAAGAGAAAGGAATCTTATTTTGGAAAATGTAAAGAAGCATACTTCTTTCATTCCAGATGAATTCAAAGATGATAAGGAAATAGTTTTTGAATCAGTTTCAGTATATGGTGGAAATATTGAACAAGCATCTTTTGATTTAAGAAATGATGATAGAGAGTTGATACGAACGGCAGTAAGAAATGGCTGTCCATTAAGCTCCTTAGATAACAGAATTATAGATAGAGACCTAGTCTTCGAGTCAATCCTTTATGGTAGCGCCTTGTGCATCGTGTCCGTTGTTGAGGAATGGCCAGAAATAGTAGATGAGGAAAAAATCATTCATTTTCAAATTTTGAGAGGATGTTGGGATTGGTTCAAATATTTCAATCCTCTATTAAGAAATGATAAAGATTTTGTAAGGAAATATGTAAAGATTTGTGGCGACATATTGGAATATGTTTCAGAAGATTTTAAAAATGATAGAGAAATTGTTAAAGAAGCAGTTAGCAACAGTGCAAATGCATTTAAATACGCGTCAGATACACTGAAGAATGACAGAGAAATTGTGGAAGCATTGAAGAATGCAGAAGAATCAGTATATTTCATATCAGGTCTTAAAGACAGAGAGTTAGTATTGCAAGCTGCTGAAAAAGGAGTTATTCTAAACACACTCGAAGAATTTACGTATGATAGAGAAATTGCCTTAAAAACAGTTTCCAAGGCTGGTTCAAAGTTACTTTACCTATCCTACGATCTAAGAAGTGATAGGGAAATTGTATTAGAAGCTGTAAAGAATGACCACTCATCTCTTGAATATTCCATGTATGATTCAAGATATGATAAGGATGTCATCTTGAAAGCAGATCTCCCTCTCAGCCATGTGGTACCAGCTCTAAGAAATGATAGAGAGCTCGTACTAAAGTTGCTCGAAAAACCCCTAAAAAAGTACAAATATCATTTCGATATTATAGATGATACGATTGAGCTAGAGTATTATTCTGGATCACAATTCGTGTATCTCTCAGATGAATTGAAAGAAGAATTCAAATCGAATAAGGAAATTATGTTGAAAGCCATTAAATTTGGGCCAACAGCAATCAATTATGCCTCCAAGGAGCTTCAAAATGATGAAGAGTTTGTATTGGAAGCTGCTCAAATCAATGGTATGGTACTAAACCATGTACTACCGAAATTTAAACATAATCGAAATGTTGTAATGAAGGCAGTTCAACAAAATGGTATGTCCCTCTCTCATGCATGCAATGAATTACAAAACGACATTGAAATAGTTCAAAACGCTCTCAAATCCCATGTTTGTGCTTTTGAATATGCCGGTTATAAATTGAGAGGCGACAAGGAATTTGTATTGGAAATGACTAGACAAAATTATCATGCTTTTAAGTTTGCCAGTAGTGATTTACAAGGTGATGAAGACATTATTTCACAAGTTATGGAAATTAATATTGAGACACTGAATTGTGCCTCCTATTCATTGCGGAATAATGTTGACTTCTTGAAGAGGATGAACAAGGATAATAGACTTGTGGAGAGGGCTTCCTTCAATCTACAAAGATCCATTAACATGCAAGGATTGTTGGATATTGAAGAAACAGACCCAAAGAAATATGAAAAGCTACTAGATTTTTACATTGACAGGTTAGTTGTGGCCACAGAGAACTCAAATTGAAAAATTCCATTCCAATAATGTCAATCAATTTTAACTCCAACCTGTCTTTATTGAGATGTTTGGATGCACTTGCTTCTTTTGAGTTACAATGTTGAAATAGACAATGTAGTGTTCTCTTGGAGGTTTGAATGAGATGGTTGGATTCACACCACTAAAAACATATTCATAATTCCACCTGCCTGGAGTTGGAGTCTGTGTAGAGACATAGATTGTGAGTGGTGTCTTTTGTGAGTTTTCTGTAATGATTAAAGATTGGTTTCCATAGTTATTTCCAAGGTATCTTTGGGATCTGAACATGAAGTTATCTTGTCCAGGTTCAATAAATAAAGAGGTTGTGTAATGTTCCAATTCTGTTGCTTGTGGGTCAAAACCTTCCAATAAACAATTTACTCTATCTTCTGAAACTCGAGTCTTACAAGGAGAACAGGTTTTTGCCTTTCCCTGACTATAGGTCATTGAAGGACATGGAAAAGCTTCCTTTCCATCAGCACAATAGAAACCAACTGGACATTTTTCACAGGTAGGATTGGCCCTAGAAATTGGATGATAACCCTGACCGCATATCACCACCGGTTTGCTTATCAAGGTGAGAGCTTCTATCGACAAGATTTTGAGCAAAATGAAGAATAAAACGAGTGAGCTCAGTGAGAAGGAGAGATTCATTTTTCTTAGTTTGTTCTTAGTTTATATTTGTTAAGGGTTTGATGTTTGTTTTTTTTCTTGAATAATAGCACCACAAACACGCAAAGCATTCTTCAATATGCAAGAATGTTTATTGCTTGGAAGAATTTCCAAAAACGAACCTCAAAATCGCCTAACAGGGATGCTGACTGTTACACAACCGTTTTTTAATGTGTCTAAAGAAGGATTGTTGGACCTTTTAGAGATGATTCAGTTGTGAAATTGAGAAAAGGGCATTCAGTTGATATCGGTTGTTGTGAAGACGGATATATTAAGGGATTATGCTCTGAATTTCCAATACTGGAAGAACCGATACCGTGGCCATGGCTAACCATAAGTTTTCTTCGGATTTCCCAATATATATGTCGTCATTAATTAAGGTCGCTATTCATGCTAAAGATTCAGCCCACAGTAAGCTTTGGCTTGATTAACTGAAAGAACTTTTTCAATGAAAGAAAACATTCATATTACAGAAAAGTAATTACTGCGACCTTTATTAAGATTAATCTTTCAAAGCATTCACATTTTAAATACTATTGTTTAATTAAATTTAATTTATTAAATAATAAATATTGAAAATTATTAAGTAAAAAAAAGAATGGAAGTGGTAACCTTTCCATTCGTTCAACATTCTGAATCAGCCTACGGAACCATCGAATGTTCATGTATGGATAATCAGAAACGGTTGGTGTTTTTGGGAACATCGGAAGGAGTCATTTCTTGTTTCTATCTTCATCAACTCTCACAATTTAATAACGATTTTGATGATCATCATGAAGAGGATGAGGATTCATTAGCATTGACGGATAGTGATGAAGATGATAATGAACATCAACAACAACAACAACATCAAAAACATCATCACATAAAGGAACCAAGTTTTGGAATGAGTGGAGCAAATGGTGGACATAATGTTGATTTGGTGAATGTTTTCCTTGGAAGACCCTCTCAGATGAAAGGAAATAATTCAAAGGCTCCTTCTACTCCATTATGGAGTAAAACTCCCATCAAACAAATTATGTGTGATGATCAAATTCAAGTTTTATTTATTCATGTACAAAACAATATTGAATTCTTTAGATATGAATTTTCAACAACAAGGAAATTACTTAAATTAACACATATCAAGAGGATACAAGAATCTCAGGGATTGACATGTTTTACATTGGATGAATGTAAGACAAATAATAGACTTTTAGTTTGTGTAAAGAAAAAGATTAATATTCTTCATTATACGGAACAGGATTGTCTTTCAGTTGGATTGGATGAATATGTATTGCCAGAATCTGTTCAGGATGAGAGATGTTTGGCACTCTTTGATAGGACTCTTATTGTTGGATTTAAAAAGGAATATTCATTGATTAGTATTGGAGGAGCTGATGCAAAGTCTGCAATTCCTAGTACAATACTTCAATTGAGTGATAAATCTGGTGATAGAGCATTGTGTGTTTCAATGGATGATGAAGTACTACTTCGTACGGAAGCAATTTGTGTTTTTGTAAATATGACTAACAAATCAACTTCGGAACAGAGAGGTATGCCATCAATTAGACCACCAATTACTTGGTCATCACCTCCACAACACATTTCATTCTCATTTCCATATATTGTTGGTGTTTTGGATCAGGGAAGAAAGATTGAAATTTATAGTATCTATGATGCCAGACTTGTAAAAACCTTGTACATTCAACCAACAACAAATACTGTAACATACACACTTGAAAATGGTTCTCAGGATACTAATCAATTGAATAATGTTCTCTCTTGGAAAATTCTTCAAGGATCTGTCAATTCAGGTGTTTTGGCTGTTTGTGACAGTTTCATTCCAACCACAGCTTCATCTGGAATTGGATTTAAAAAGGAAAAGAAGGAGAAGGTTCAAACATTTGTTCTATTGTGCCCAATTTCATATGAAAAGCAAATATCTGCCCTCTTTGAAATGGCTCACTGTTCTGAGGCATTTGAACTTTTTGAAAGAATGATTGAATTCAAGAGGGAGAAGGGAGAATATATCGACCCAATCATTGAGAAGAGATGGAGACAGCAATTACTCCAAGAGGCAGCTTTTGCCTCTCTTTTCCACTTGGATATTGAGAAGGCCTTTACATACTTTAGAGAACACGAGCAAGCACTTGAGGATAGAATTGGATTTGATATTAGAGAATTAATAGTACTCTTCCCAGAATTTAGTAGTATTGTTCATTCTGACGACGACTTCTATCCAAAGGTTTCCTGGAATGTAAAATATTTAAATACCGAATCTAGAAAACCAAAGCACTTATTTGATTTGTTTGTGGAAAGAATTACAAAGAGAAGAGATCTTTCCTCACCAACTCATGAAGTTGAGAAGGAGGCAGATCAATTAGTTTCAAAGTGTAAACAGTATTTGAGACCACTATTAGAATATAGACGAAAGAAAATTCATTCTATGGAAAAGCATTCAAAGGAGGGAATAATATTGGACTTTGCCTACATGTCACAACAGTGTAAGAGTGGCATTGATAATACTCTATTCAAAATGTATTTGGACATGGGAGATTTGGGAAGATTGAATAGAATGCTCAAAGATACAAAACACAAAGGTATCGATGAATCTTCTCATCATTCATCCATCAAGTGTTATTGTACTTTGGATATTTGTTCTTCAATGCTCATGTCAGAAGTTGAGATTTTGTCACCAGAAGCACAAGAGTTCTACATGGCCATGCTTTACCAGACACATTTGAATTATAATTTGCTCAATGTTGCCAAGACATTTTCTCTATTTAAGGTCATTTGTTTGGGTGATAAGTCTGATATGGGTGACGTTGCATTGGATGAAGCTCTTACCTTGCTATTTTCACTCTTCGATCGACCTCTCTTGGACGAATCTACAAATAGTGCCTTTATAGATAAGAAGAAGGAAATATTCTGGGTAAATTTGGAATGGTGCCTCAAATTGGATCACTTTAAGAGTGTTAAAATTTTAAATCACAATGTGATTCACTTGGGAATAGACCCAATTTTGAAGTACATTAGACAACACCTTGACGAGGAGACTCAAAATGAAGTTATTCAACTCTTCTTGGAGTATATCATTCATGAGTATGACCAAGAACATTCCGACAAGAAACTAGATATTCCAAATCAATACTATACACTCCTTGCCTTAAAGTATATTGATGTTATCACTTCCTATGAAATTAGACATGATTCTGAATTTATTTTGGATCTGAGAACCAAATTCATGTTACACATTCAAGAATGCAAAGATTTAATTACTCTGGAAACTGTCATTTCACGTTTACAAGGAACAAGCATGTTCCATGAGATGATTCTACTCTACTCCCTCTCCAATGAACATGAAAAATCATTGAAAATTTTACTATTCGATCTCTACTCTGCAGATGGAGCAGAAAATTATTGTCAAGAGCAACAAGCCAGATACACTCAAAAATTATACGAAAATATGGCCAATTCAGATCTGAATTCAGTGGATGCCACTCTTGAAATGTACGACAGAAATTACACCAAAGTTACCATTCACAATGAATTATTCCTCATCCTCCTCAAATTATGTTTCCAAGAATTGAATATTAACAAACCAAGAACAAGAGCCTACTATGATTTTGGAGTTTACATTTTGAATAAGTATGCCAAACATATTGATCCCATCTCTGCCATTAAATTATTACCCAACAATCTCTCCACTAAGAAAATACTCCCCTTCCTCACATGTACATTGAGACAAACTGCCACCAACAACAGAACTACCAGCATTATGAAAAACATGAGTAAGATTGACTTTTTCAATGCTCAAGCTGAACTTGTGAAATATCAGAGTCGTAAAAAGTTTGTCACACGAAAGACCAAATGTACTTTTTGTAATAGATCCATTGGAGAGGATGCTTGTATTGTTTTCTATCCAGATCTTGCCAATATTTTCCATTACAGTTGTTTCAATAAGGATACGAATGTGGATCGTATTTCAAAGAGAAACTTTATCAAGAGTCCTTACCTTATTCTTGATTCGTCCGATCATCACCAACAAGATAAGAAGGAAAAATAATTTATTTCCACATCAATATAGATATAATTGTTTATTGAACTGATTCTCTTTGTTTCGGATACATTTCAAAGTAGTTTTTGTTATTTGAAAAGATGTGATTAACGTTTATTGTAAAACCATTTCATAAAAAATGCACAAACAAGATTTTAAGAATCACGTCAGGGAGCAACTCGTTCAACATCTCGATGGAAGTAGTGCAACTCTGGAATGGAAGGAAAAATGGGTTGATGACTTGGCTTCCGATTATGGAAATTTATTGTTTTTCAGATGAAGAACATGAAGAATTGATGAGTGATGATCATCGGAATGGTGATAATCTTGATTCCATCCTTGTGGATAATCCAATTCTAATGCTCGATAATTTATTCGATCGTTTATTGATGAGTAAAAAGGACATGTTGGAAAAAGTTGCCACTCTCAAAGATTCCTATGATGAATATATTGATTTATTAATTGATAATAGTGATGTGGAGAATGAGTTTAAAAGAAGACAGGATCAAGCCTTCGAAAGGATTATTAAATATTATATGAATGGAATGATTGGAAAATTATATCAAGCAATGAAGAATTTCAAGAATGTGGAAAGAGGTGAATTAAAAAGGAAATTGATTGGAAAGATTGCTGAATTTTTACAATTATCACTGGAGAAGGAGGATGTGGAAATGATGATAGAGCCAATACTGGAGAGTTTGTTGAATAACTCGAATGAAGAGTCGCTCACTAGTTTTTTAACAATCATTCCGTTTCTGGAAGCTGGACTGAGAGATTGCTTGATAGTTTACGATTTCCATTGTAATATTGATAAGAAGAAACAAGAATCTATTCTCAATAGACTAGCAACCTTTGGTGATATTCTTGCAAGTCAAGACATGTCAACAATTTATGGATCTTCAATTGCATTTATTTTGAGAATGTGTTATGGAAGTCAAAACACTTTAAATTTGAGAAATATTTCAATGCATGGCTATTTTTCCAAAGATAATTTCCATTCACAACATTTGTGGTTTCTACTGTTAGTGTTTAGCAATTTAGGTTCTTTCATCTCAATTCACTTGTCAAATGCAAAGAGCAAAATTACCAATAATAAGGAACAAGCTCAATATGATGAAATGCTCAAATCTAGAAAGCTTGATGGTAAGAAGAAGTACCATGAGGAGTATGGAGTTAGTGAAAAATCTGTTAAATCTCTCACAATTGAATCGGATTTGATAGAGAAATTGAAAAATGTTGATATTGAACTGATTGCTGGGAGAACTTTCTTATTTGATCATGATAGACATGAGGAATGGATTGAGATTTTAAAGGACTATCTATCCATTAATGAGGGAGACCAATTGGAAATATTCAAACTATTGTCGAAGCTCTTCCCATTCTTTGAGAATCTTCTTAGAAGATTGTTTATTTATTCAAATTTAGAGTTTGATCTATTCAAGGAAAGATGTAGAATGATCAAAGTGGAAAGAGGAAGGTCACTCGTGGTTTTTGATTCTATTCTAAATAACAGACCTAATGAATATTATCAAATCACTACTAATGCTATTTTTGAGGATTTTAGTGAAGGTTTAGTTAACTGTATATATGATCTTTTCAAGTGGCCACAAGGAGTAAGGATTAGGACATTGATGGCTCATGGCTGTGTACATTGGAATTGGATACCAAAAAGTTACGTGGATAGATTGATTCTCTTGATAATTTACATTATGAATCAATTTTCAATTGAAAAATCAGAGAATGAATTGCTGAATGAGATTTATCACTTTCATTTGAATTATTCTCCATTATTTCATCCAAGAAAGATTCTTGCTAATGAAATTGAAAAGACCATTAATTGCCTTGAACAGGTGGAACACTTTTACAACAGTAATGATTATTTGAAAATGAAAGAATTACTCAATGCAGAAACTGTAGAAGTAATTTTGGAAGATAATACCAGACAAGCTCTAGTGGGAAAAATTGAATTAATTGGAAATAACGTTGTTGGAATTATAATTGAGAATGTAACTCAATACAGACCTTTGAAAATGGCTCAAGTATTCAGACCAATAATTCAACAAATTAGGTATGGAGTTGATGAAATTTCTGAAAAGGAGGTATGTATTCAAGTTGTTGGATTGTTTTTTACCAATTTGCACAGTTCAAAGTGTTGCTATTAGCTAACAGAATGAGCAATGAAATATCGTCCATTCTCAATACTCAGTTGAATAGTCTGACATCAAAATGGAGCAAATTGTCAAAATTGTCCTCTTCACAAAAGAGCTCCTTCCTTAATGCAATTAATTTTACAGAAATAATCCACCAAGTTTGCGAATATTGTTTGTCAGTTCAAATTGGTATTTTGACATGCACTAACAAGATCGAACCTTTCATTGCTGGCTGCGACAGATTTTGTTCTCAATTCCAAGCTTCTCTACCAAAGAATCACCTTTCCAAAAGTATTGAAATCCTGATTGCCTTCGCCCTTGGTTCAGATGAAGCATCTCAATGTGGCTATTCATTTGGCAACATTAAGAACAAGACACTTCTCAAATCTCTCTACTACGTGCAACAGAAATAAGCTCAGTTTATGAAACTCCAAAAGCAGAAAGATAACAACTCCTTATTAATAAATGAAAATTGTTTTGGTGATTTATTGTTCTCTACTATCACACAATTGTGTATACAGTTTGTTTTATGTCCTAACAAAATTATATGTCGTCACAAGCAAAACACGACAATAGGTGTAAATTTGTATTACTATTAGTAGTACAAATTATATGATTACATTATATAGATTAACAAAAGATTGGTCTGCAATCTTCTTCCTCGCACATCAAGCTGGAATTTTGGAAGTGATTAATAAGTGCTATCTTCCCTTGAATTCTGGCATAAGTGATATCACAAACCTTTTCACTGTTAAACTTTTCCCACTTCTTTCTATTGAATCTTTCAACAAATGGAATGATTAATTTTGGATCAGCAAAGTTGATGAATGCATATCCAACATTGCACTTGTTCTTAAAGTCAATAGGAAGATAGAAAAAGTCATATGCTGTTTTGAACTCTACATCTACAGTTTCCAAAAGCATCTTTTGAGTGTACTTGTTTGGAATATTCTTAACCATGAGAGTAGTTCTCTTATCAATACCACATCTAACCTTTTCAAGATCCAATTTGAATTGTTCCTTCTCCTCAGCGCTGATAGCTCTTGGACGTCTTGACTTGTTGTTTCCAGGATGAAGAAGAGCATCATTCTTTGGTGGAGAGAGAGTTTCAATATTGGTGGTTGTTGGAAGAGAGCTGCTGATTTCAATAGTTTCTGGAGTACCTTGAAGAGTTGGACTGCCAGAGTCAGAATCAGAGAATGAAGGGAATCTATTTCTCAAACCACCAGGTCTAGAGTATTCAATCTTAATCTTTTTACCCTTCAACTCGGTCTTGTTGAGTTGCTTCAATGCTCTTTCAGCATCTCTTGTATCATAGAACTCGATGAATTTGTGGAATTTCTTGTTAGGAGTTTCTCTAATTTCCTTAACATCTCCTCCAAATTGAGTAAAAATAGTTTTTAACTCTTCATTAGTGATAGAAGGATCTAGATTGAAAACAACCAATGTCTCTTGGTTGAGTTGTTCCTTTTCTGGTGGATTTTCCTTTGGAATGGAATAGTGAATATCAATCTTTCTCTTCTTGATTAACTTGGATTGTAAATTCTTCTTTGCTTGCTTGGCGTGTCTAATATCGTAGTAAGTAATCATGACAAAGCCACGATGCTTGCAAGAAGTGTACATTTGTCTTATTGGTCCAAAGCTTTCAAAGAGTATTCTCAATTCTTGATCATCAACTACACTAGAAATATTTCTAACAAAAAGTGTTCTTGAAGGATATTCACCAGGATGTTTTTGACTCTTTCCTTCATCATCACTGTCTGTTGAAGATCCATTGGAACCATCTTGATTGATTTGGTCGTTTGGATTATAACCACCAGCCATTTGAACATTAGCAGTATTTGGGAATAAATTAATACCGTATGGAATTTGTTTGAATCCATTTTGATTGTTATTGGCTTTGTATCCTCCCATTGGTGAAGAAGAATAATCATTTTCCATATATCCAGTAGCATAGGAAGTCATAAGAGGACTACTTTGAGATGGTGACATTTCAAGATGGCCAACAACATATTGCTCCTCATTATATCCACCATTAACATACATAGATGGATTATTGGAGTACCAAATATTATTTGAAAAAGAATCTAATTCATCTTCTTCCAAAATTTTCATATTCACGGATTTAGAAATGTGGTTATTCATTCTATCAATATCTATATCATTCTTATAAAGTCCTGTTGATGTAAATGCCGGAATAGGAGGCATACTGTTACTTCTTCCACCTTGAAGTAAAGCTCTAGTTTGTTGAGTGATCTTATTTCCTGGATGATATTCAACTCTAGGAGAGTTACTTGGTGACATTGAAGGAGAAGGATGTGATGGAATCAAACCAAAGGTTAAAGGATCAACGTCAGCAGATCCAAATAATGATGAACCTTGATTTGATGGGAATCCTGTATATCCCATATTGTTGTTGAAAGAAGTGTTCAATTTAACATTTTGTCTTGATGGATTAGTTGGAGTACCAGGAGCAAGAAGTGGACTACCAACGTATCCATGATTATCATAGTTTTGTGGTGGGAGAGCTGGTGATTGAGGATGATATCCTTGATTATATACAGTGGTGGATGGATTTACATCAATTCTTGGAGAAAGTTCTAAGAAGATAAGAAATTAATAAATTGAAGAAGCACTAATACTTACTTGTCAAATGTCCTCCAATAGGAGGGAATCCACTAGAATTACCTCTTTGTCTGGCAGCAAAAGGAACGTCAAATCTTGGAGAGAGATCCCTTTGATGACTACCATTAGAATCCAATGAAAGAGATTGTTGATGAGTTGGTTGAATATTGTTATTAAATGGTAACTTGTTTGGAGAGGTACTGGTAGAGATGTCATGGTGCAAATTGTTGTTATCTTGATTTAATGACAATTCCATGAGTGACATCGATAGTTGTGGTATATGATCTAAACTGTCACCACCTTTAAACGAACCATTGTTTGGATTGTTATTATGCATAGAATTATTACTATTTAGATAGGAGTAAGTCAAGAGAGGTGATGATGGCACGTTTTGGTTCATCATCGTATTATTCGGTCTACCAAAGAACGTCTTGTTAGAATTATTATCACCATAAACCATGGTAGAGGTAGTATTTGCTTGATGATCAAGAGTCATTTCTAATTTACAGAAAATTTAGTAGTATTAATGATGATGATACTAGTTGTTGTTGTAAGTATTAAATTTGTTATCTTTCAAATAATAATAATAATAAATATTAGGATGATCACCAAATACTTTGATCAACTATTAAATATAGGAAGTAGAATGATGATAGTGGTTGTAGTAGTGGTTGTGGCAAAGTTTTGTCAAGTAATAATAATAAATTTGTGAAGTATGACGAATGTTGAACAAACTCTTGTGATCAGAAAGTGGATATAAGAGTTTAAACCGAAATGATAATATCAATTCTTCACAACACCAACAGCAAATGATCAACAAGATATATTGCCGTTAGATTCCTAAACTGCAAAAATACTACTTGGTCAATAGCAGCTGTTCCGAACTGAATTCAACAGACAACAGTTGTCAAATACACTGTTTCCTTCGGTTCTTTAAATTGTGATGAGGAAATCAACAATAAAAATCACACACAACTCTTCAGTGGACAAAAAGTTAAGCAGCAACAGAGAAAAAATGCTTTGCGCAGGTTTTTTTTTGGAATTTTTTCACCAGCAACAAACAAATAGAACGAAGAATGCCTTTCTCAGCGCGCAAAGTTATCGAAGGGATATTCTCTGAGATGAGATAATATCGAAGGATATGATTGGAAAGCTTTTGTGAAGAAGCTTTGATGTTTTTGAATCTAGAAATTTCTAGAGGTAGTTAAAATCTGTAATCTATATGGATAGGACTGTAAACCTGTGTGTGGCTTTTCTTAGCGGGATGAAACTGTGGTGCTGATGATAATATTTGTTGTATAATTACTCAACAGCAAATATTCCGAAAGATGAAGATGATTGGAAAAATCACACACAACAAGCTTCTTTAAAGACTTGTAAGGGTAGAGATGATGCCCTGAAGGTATGTCAACGTTCCCTTCTAGAAATATTACTCTGGTTGATGGGTGCCTTTTTTGATGGGATTACCAACCAATAATTAATGACGATAATCAACTACGAAAAAGAGCCAAATTATCGAAAGGTTGACTTGAGCAAATTTGGAAGGTTTCAAAAAGCCAGTATTTTGGAAAATTGTAATAATCTACAAGATGTGTATGTGGTTAGTTGTAGACTCAAAATTTTTGAAAGAAAAACACAAAGATGATAGAAATGCTTTTCAATTAATTCGTGATTATCAGAATCCTTTATTGGTTTCAAGTAAGTTACCTGATATGGGCAATTCTATTTTGAAGTAATGTAAAAGGATTGGAAATTTTGAGGTCGTACTTGTTATGGATTGTTTACAATTGTGTTTAGAAAAGATTGTTTTGAATGTGGTGGATTTATATATAACATTAATATTGAGGAAAAACACCATTCTTTATTCGAATATTATAATCTTAAATGTGGAATTTCTAATATTGAGGATGATTTGTTTCCATTGCTGGAAAATGGAAAGATTTTACAACGACAAATCAGTTAAGAAGATAGAATATTCTTATTCCAAACTGTATAGTATTTAGAATTAGGAGAAAGTAAGGTTTGAAAGAAGAAAATACGAAACTCTGATTTCAATTATAGATTCAGATAGTGATAAGCATCTAGGCAACTATATTGGCTTTCTAACACCAACACAGCAAGTAATATTTAAATTGGTCATTTACTAAATTAAAAAAATGGGGTTAAAAGACATGTACAAAGAAATCAAGAAGAATGTCAGATCGTTGGACGAAACTATGGATCGAACTGACCAAGAAATTGAACATTTCGGCCATGTACTCGATATAACAGAAGATGGCATTGCCAAGTTTACAAACTGCATCTCAAAAGCAGAGGTTGCTGTTCACGAAATTGATCAATTAACCAATCATGGAGAAGAATTAGTTTCCAAACTCCATGCACTTGTAAATGTTGTTGAGAATAAGGAAATGATAATAATGAGTTTTTATGGGGCAATCATTGTAACATTTTTGATTTCCATTCTAATCATTGAAAACTGGATTTCTGTCTTGATTTCCAATAGCAAATCCAACCAAGCAGACAGAATCACTTTTTTTGAGACTATATTCGATTACATGTTTCTTTCCGTTATTTGTTTTATATTGAGAGTTCTCCAATTGATTCTATTCACAATTGTAACATACTCTAGTTTGGAGAGTTTTAAGAAGACAATTCTCAAAAAGGTTGAAGTTGAAATTAGCCCAAGCACCTCAACAACAAATGGTACCACTTCTCAATTATCTTCCATTGAAATACCAGAGTCTCCTTCCAAGAGCATTCCATCCATTACTCTCACAACTCCTATTCTAGAACCAACCATTTCAAATGAGAGCACTGATGTAACTCCTGTAGAGAGTCCAATATCTTCATTGGCCAACAATGTTTCTTCCTCAACAAGAACCTCTAAAAGCGATCTAGCCAATGCAGATGAGCTCTCCTCTACATCATCAACTTGTTCTGCCACAACAATATCAGAAGCTATTAAATCCAATTTGGAAAGTGCTTTACAAATAGCAAGCTCAATCTCTCATACCACAATAGAAGAGAATCACTCTTCAAACACCAATGCTCTCTAACCACATCTTTACTCACTTTCCACAATAAATTAAATTAATATGGTCATTTAATTTCTTCAATTTTTGACAAACTTTACAAAATCCTAAAATCCTGATGAAAAACGCAAAATCATGAACTTGATCTATTTTTAAAAAACAAAAAAAATGATGCAACAACACCAACCTCAAGATTCCTTCGGATCAACTTTTGATTTTAGCACAGACAAGGGAAGCTATTCAATTCCAAAGCAAGCCTTGATCCAATATGTTGAAAAGGCTTTCTTACAAGAGAAAAAGTCCTTCTTGTTGCTTCCAATTCCTTCCTCTCAGGATTTTATTCCCTTCTCCGTGATGGAACAAATTGCAAAGGAATCAGAGAGTGTTAGAAAACAAATGGAAATTGTTCTTCAAACTGTGCCAGAGCAGAATGATAGCTTGAGTGATTTTCACTATACTTTTGGATCATTACCAGATGAACCAAGTGTATCCTATGAAAGTGATCCGAATGCCTATGTTCAAGATTTGGCATTGTTGACCAATGATACACCTGGATTATTTGTCAATGATATTGATGGTGGAAAATTCCACTTTGTTTCACAACGTCATTATGATGCAGTTGGTGACTTTGTGTGTAAATATGTACAGGAAGAACTTTTGGTTAAGAGATGTAAATTAGATGAATATTGGTTGCCATTGGATATGAATGCACAAACTCAAAAAGATCAAATGGTTAATATCTTCATGTCAAAGGATGCATTGACAAATCCAAACAAACTTATGCTTCTTATACAGGGATCAGGTGCTGTTCGTCCAGGACAATGGGCTAGAGGTATGTCTTTAATTTATTGAATTATTTGTAATCATTTGGAAAATAACTTGAATTAATACATTGTGTGAAATAGCTCTCTGTATGAATGACACACTCAAGACTGGTACTCAATACAATTATATTGTACAAGCTATGAAGGAAGGATATGGAGTGATTGTTTTCAATCCAAATCAAAACCATTACGTTCCAAAGGAGTTGGATGATCCAACCAAGTACAACAAGACAGGATACATGAATAGAAACAAACCAGAACCATTGCCAAAGAATGTCAAAAAGTCCATTCCACACAATCAATCCCCACCTGAACATACAGTCTATGTGTGGGATCATTTCGTTAAGAAGGCAGCAGCTAAGGATGTTGTAATTGTTGCTCACTCTGCTGGAGGTTGGTGCACTATGGAATTATTGAAGGAGAGAACACAGGAATGCTTGAATAGAGTTAGAGCTATTGCTTTTACTGATTCAGTTCACTCAGTTAATTCATCTGATCCAAAACCTGTTCGTGATTTTGTGGTTGCCAATGCTGTCAATTGGGTTACCTCTGAAAAGCAATGTGATGTTCTCGTTTCACCAAAGAGACAGGGATCATCATGTGAATGCAGAAGTGCTGGTCACAATAAGCATGAATATACCTCAGAGTTTTGTCGTGAAGCTGCCTTCTCATATATCAATGCTAAATTGGCTCAATAAATTTAATAAATTTTAACAATATCAACTCAATTTTTGTAAATAATTTAAAAAGTATTGAGGATACTTCCATTCATGTGAATTTTCTGAAACTATTGCAATCATCTGATCCAAAACACTAATCATGTGATTATGTTCAGGATGATAAATCGAATCCAAATTCAACAAGTAGGCATACATGGCAGTAAAATGTGACAAGACTCCCAAAAAAACTGCAAAATGCCAAATTCCATGACTGAATGGAATAATCCCATTTCCATACACCAAAAACAAACATCCTCCACTAAAGAATACTCCACCCAATACTAAACAAATAAACGCCTCAACTGGAAGTGGTTTCAATAATCCAGCTGGGACAACTACAAATCCCGACCATCCCATTATATTTAGGAGAAATACATTGTTGAGCTCTCTGATGAGTTTGATTGTCTTGTGGGGGAGAAACATTTTAATTAGTCCCATTAGACAGAATAACCAAATAAAGACAGCAATGAAACCTCCACTTCCATATTCGTATTCAATTAAGGTTAACCAGGGAGTATAACTTGCTGCAATAAAGATATAAATGGTAGCATGATCAAATATTCTAAATTGCATCGACCACTTATCATGTCTTCCTTTCAGAAAACATAAAAGATGATAAGTAGACGAAACTCCAAAAAGTAAAACCATTCCAGCTCCATACGAAATTACACACAAGGCCTCTCTCCAACTATTCACAATTTCATCTTCAAATATTTGTATAGAATAATAAATAAAAAAGAATATCGGAAAGAAATGTGTTAGAAAGTTGACTAATTCTTCACAATTTGAAGGAATGTAATCTGCTCCTTTCCCACTTTTAGGTCTCGGATTCATAAATATTGAACATAATGGACATGAATATCCATTGTGATGGTGAGTTTTGTGTTGTATTTGATGTTTGTCGTCGTTATCTTTTTGACAAGATTCAAGGTGGATTTGTTTAGTTTCTAATAGTTTCATTTTTTTCTTTGAAGGAAAATTGGATAAAAGGATAACATGGATATCGATGAATTTCCACACACAAAAGAAAGCACAACAATAAGCATGGTTGAAAAATCGATAAACATTATGAATTGAAAATATTTAAGTTTCCTAAAATTATGTCCTGATTATACCATCAGAGGCAATCTCAAAAGGATAGCTCACTCTCCTTTCAAACAATTGAGTTAAATTCGTTAACAGTTGTGTAAATCTCTTTTGTAAATGTGCGGATTCAGTACATTTGAGGGTTTACAAAATTACAAATTTATTTTACTTGCTTTGCTGTAATTAATTCAACAATCATCTTATTACTTGGAGAATCAATCTTGAATTTGTTAGCCAACTCTACAAATGCTCCATTGAGATACATAATTTCAGTTTCGTTTTGATTTTCCAAGTCCACTAACATGCTACAACGATTTGAACTAGTCAACTCACAAATTTTCATTACCTTTTCATAAACTACTTGCTCAATAGACTTGTCTTTCATTTCTTGAGCTGTAGCCAATGAATCTATTGCTCCAGGAATCATTCTTAAAATATTGACTTGTTCCTTAATTAGAATTTTCATCAAATTTTGTAAGGCGAGATTTTGTAATAAATTTCCATTTTCAATTTGGTAGAGGGAGGCAAGCGGATTGATGGTGGAATTGATAATAAGTTTCATCCAATCAACAAACTTTGGTTTTCCATCAATTATTGTCGAATTCAGTATTGAGCCAATTTGGAATTGTGAATTATTGGAAAATACATTTCCTAATTTGGTGTCTACAAGTAGTTTTGGAACGCTAATTGATATTTTGTCAGTGTTCGATTGCTCCAATACTCTTCTATCTTCACTATTAAGAATTGTCTTGACTCCTGAGTATAAATTGATTGGTGACATTGAAACGCCTTCCAAGTTGAGTTTTGAAAGAGAGGTCAAGATATTTTGCTCATTTCCATATCCATTCTGAACAGTTATAATATGCTTAATCTTTGATAAAGATGGAAGTCCTTCCATCATGTTCTGAATTGCTTGATTAGTGGCATAACTCTTGACAGCTATAATCAAGACATCAATTTCACCATTCCAAGCATTCTTCAATTCTTCATCACTTATAATATTTACAATAGTATTTCTAATTGATTTAGTTTCATTTCCTTCCCTTACTTGTGTGGAAATTTCAATATTTTCTTCAAGTTTCGTCTTTTTTCCACTCAGCAATTTCACATCACAATTACTTGATAAACTAGAAGCAAACAATGAACCAACAGATCCTGAACCAAGAATTAATACCTTTGGTCTTTCGCCTACATTATTATAATCTACACCCAATTGTCCATCTTTCTTTCCATCAACATTTGACTTGATTATCTCATTAACTTGATGATTTTTCACATCTTTTTCAATATATTCCGAAACTACACTATATACATCATCCTTAATAATAAAAGTATGTGATTTGTGTGGAAATTCTCCATTCACAACATCTTTCACATAATTTTCACAAGCATCAATCATGATTGGATTCAAATTCAAATATTGTTTACAAAACTTTGGAGTAAACTTTGAATACATTCCCAATAAATCATGATAAACCAACACCTGACCTGAACATTTACCAGATCCAATACCAATTGTTGGAATTCCAATGTGTTTCGTAATGAGAGAGGCTAATTTCTGAGGAACGCATTCCAGTACAATTAAGCTAGCTCCAGCTTCCTTAACTGCCAATGCATCTTTCCATAATTGGATAGCTTCTGAGCAGTTCTTTGAACCAACCACTCTGAAACCTCCCAATTGATTGCATGATTGTGGGGTTAGGCCAATATGTGCAATGACAACTATTCCAGCATCGACAATTGACTTGATTTTTGAGGCAACTCTTTCACCTCCTTCAAGTTTGACAGAATTCATTTCTGCTTCCTTAATAAACCTAACAGCATTGTGAACTGCAGCGTCATCTGTGACATAGGAACCAAATGGCATGTCACCGATCAAGAATGAATATTGACTTCCTCTCTTGACAGCTTTAGCATGATGAATCATTTCGTCCATCGTAACGCTAGTTGTGTTTGGTTGACCTAAGGCAGTCATTGACAAGGAATCACCCACCAATATCATATCACAATTTGTTTGGTCAACCACAGAAGCAGAATGAAAATCAGTTGCTGTGAGCATTGTCAAGGGAATTTGATTTTGATACTTGTAATTGATGCATTGCAAAGTGACAGGTACTAATTCTTGCCTTATAGATTCTTTCTCTTGTGAGGATGCCTTATTACTCTTTGGACTTGTGTGCACTGAATAGTTTCGAATAGTCTTCTTTCCATTTATGGTAGACGAAACCCAACTCTTTCTTGTGGACTGAACAAGATTCAGCAACGAGAGGACGTCATCCCTTCCCAAACTCTTCCTTACAAGACCACCACCTATTTTTGTAATCATCTTCATTTTCTCAATTTTTTTCAATATTGTTTCGGTTGCTGAGAAGTCAAAGACGGAAATTTAAAAACCTTCGAGAGATTAAACTCAAATATCCAGCAACTGTTGTGAATGATAATAATAATTAACGTCCAACAACCCTCACAGATTGGATATTCTCCGTTAAATTGAAGATTGTTCATTATCACCAACATTTGACTCTAAAATTAATCTCTTCACTGTTCTTCAACCCTGATTGATATTTGGATCTCTTGCAAAGATTGATAATTTATTTCTTCTTCATGGTGTTGATGAGTTATGTTGTTCTTATTTCCATTCTCCGATGGACAAAAAGTTGTTTTTCAGCACAAATATCTTGCACTGTAAATGACGAAGGTTCAAAATTGTAATTTCTTCATTCCTGGAATGTGTGATTGTAATGTTGAGGTCTGTTACGTATTATTTGAAATTTCCTTCAAATAATTATCCGATTAAGAGACAGTGATTGAGAACTTTAATTTCGCATCATTCATTATTCGAAACACAAAAAAACAGTAAAAAAAAATAGAGAGTAATGCAAGTGGCCAAATCATTGCACGAATTTCAAACACTCAGAAAATTATTGGGCAATAATGGAAAGGTTGTGAGTTTTGTTCCCACGATGGGAAACCTCCACAGCGGTCATTTACAATTAATGAAAATTGCAAAACAAAACTCGGATGTGGTTGTAAGCTCTGTTTTTGTAAATCCTGCACAATTTGCAGCAAATGAAGATTTTGATAAGTATCCAAGGACTCTACAATCAGATTTGGAAAAGATGAAGGAAATTGGTGTGGATTTAGTGTTGGCTCCAGGTGGAACTTCAGAGCTGTATCCACATGGATACATGACACGTGTCTTTATGAGTAAGATATCGACGGATACAGCTCAGTCACATCCATTGAGGAATAGTTCTGGATCTGTTGGGGAGGAATTGAATCATAATTGGTTGGAGGATCAACCAGAAGCTATTTGTAGAAGTGGTTTCTTTGATGGAGTTTCTACCATTTTAGTGAAATTGTTTAATATTGTAAGACCACAGGTTATTGTGTTTGGACAGAAAGATGCAGTTCAATGTATGGTTGTAAAGAGATTGGTTAAGGATTTGAATTATATTGATATTGAAAAGGTGATTATTGGAGAAACTGAAAGAGAATTGGACGGATTGGCCATGTCATCTAGAAATCAATATCTTTCTCCAATTGATAGGAAATATATTGCACCAATTTTGAATAGGATATTATTTGATGCTCAATCATCTTTTAAGAATATTGAAAATGTAAATGCTGAATCATTGAGAAAGTGGCTGCAAGATTCATATAATCAATTGGAATTTTCATTTGAGGAAAAGTTGAAAAATCACTATTCGAATGGGTATAATAAGGAAGATTACAAGATTGACTATTTGAGTGTGTGTAATTGGAACAATGGTCATGTTTATGGAACCATCTCTACAAATAATATTTATACAGAACCATTTTACAGTATTGAGAAGGAGAATTTACAAGATTTGACACAGCTCTGTTTATCCACAACTGTCCGAGTTGGAGGAACTCGTTTGTTGGATAATTTAATTATCAATGTTAGGGAAAATGGGATTTAATTGTTGCTGATCTGGTGTGTTTCTCTGATCTTAACCCAATTCATTAATTTCTTATGGAATTTTACCAATGTTGAAATTGATTTAATAAAATTTAAAAACTACTTGGAATACTGATTTATTTATTCTAAAATATATCCAATAATCGAGAAAATAATAAATAATAATGTGTAAAAAAAGATAGCTTTTGAGCGCTTTGAACGTTTGTGTGGTTCATCTTTGAGTTCAGGAGTAGAGCAGAATAGTTCCAACATTTTAGAGCTATCCAGTGGATCCTGAGAAAAGTATAAATTCCAAATATCTTTGGCTTGTTTCTTGAGGAAATGTTGATTTAACAAGTGATCATTTCTTCCTGTGATAGTCAAGGAAGGAATTCTATATAATTGTTCCTTAATATTTCTGAAAACGCTATCTCTACACATTTTGGTAGCTTCAGTTTCCTTGAATTCTTCCTCCAAGAAATATGAATAGGCATTGAGTTGACTCATAATCTTTTCTTGATCCTCAATATTCTGAATGGTGGCTAATCTTTGGGATCTGTCATGATACAATTTTTTGATACTATCTTGATCAGATGGTTCTTTGTAAAAGTATTTGAGGAAAACTTTCTCATTTCTAATTGTCATTTCCATAATCTTATCAATAACGAACATCTCCTCTTTGTTGAATTCTATTTCAGAGAAAGAGTCGTCATCAATGTGATACCTTATTGCTTTGGTTAATTGAATAAACAAGTCTACAACATTCTCAATGCTCATAGTATCGAGTTGGAAACTCTCCTTAATTGAGAACTTGGCAAAATCTTCTGATCCTTTTGCAAACTGAAGACAGAAATAGGTACGATCCTCTGCGAAAACCTTGGAGTATGTCATAGTATTCAAGTCCAATCTACCAGAGCTGATCAAATCTGCGTTCTTCGATCTGATTTCAATATTGTACAATTGTGCACGGATTTCAAAGAATTTCAAATCAATTTTGAACAAATCCTTGAAAATATTTCTCAAACCGTCCATAGTCTCTGTTGTTGAGAGTTTTCTGATTGGATCATCCAAAAATGTCTTTCTCAAATATGGAAGATCTGATACAGAAAGATTAGAATCTCCTAATTCTCGTTGTAATTCCAATAAAGAATCATTTAAAACTATTCTAAAATCAGAAACATCATTTCTATTCATCAAATCATAAAAGTTGTCATATTTACATTCTTTTGCAAGTGCCTTTTGTGAAGCCAACAAAGATTCAACTTTCTTTTCAATGCCTGATGATAAACTGGTCATTTGAATAGAGTAAGAAATTCTCCTAACCTCCATGTTTTCATCAAATAATCCCTTAGAAAGATCAAAATACAAATTTCCATGACGTTCGTGTAAAACATGTGCTTGTTGCAACATTTCCACCTCACCATTAGTAATTAAAGTTCCAATATAATTATTAGGAATCGAGATTGGCTTCATGTTTTCCAGTTGAAAACGTACAAACTCAGTTCTGAATTCTTCTTCTGCTCTTTCTAGTGCCGACCAAAACCATGACTTTTTACTAAATTGGAACCAATCACAACGACTGAGAAGAAAATTAATATTCTTTGTATCCTTTGTGTCCAATCCCTCGATTCTTTCCTTGATTTTGATAACAAGTTCTGGTAGTAAATGTACATTCAACAAGGAAACAATCTTATTAAACTTTAAAGTATAATCCTGTTTGGCACTATTCTCCAATTCATAAATATTCATACTAATCAATTCCAAAATATTCAAACAAATTGATGCAAATTCCTCCTTCTTAATATTTCCACTATTACTACCCTCGACAATCTCCCTCAACAAACCAATCAAATCATTCACACTATCAATTTTATACTTTGTATAAATTGCAAGAAATGAAAAATCGATACTCGACAAATCTCCTTCAATATAACGTTTAGGAATTTTAAATCCTTTATAATCTATTACTTCATCTCCTTGTTGCTTTACCAAATCTTTAGGTAAATATTGTTCAACAACAAGCTTTCCTATTGATGGTTTTAAATATCTAATTGTATTACTAGTATTAATAATACTATGATCCGAAGAATAACGTAACTTGGCAAAGGCTCGTTCTTGATATTGTTGTATTATTGGTATCAACTTGGCTTGATGTTTTCTTTGTGCATTCAATGAAATTTGATGTAACAATGACGAAGGAGGCTTAAAGGAAAACATTTTTTTTTAAATTATTATAATTATGAATGGCTATACTTCTTATTCGCCAACAGGTTTATCTGTATTGAGTTTTGATTTTGATGAATCTTCATTCAATAATAATTTATCAAATCATTTCCCCAATATGAAACAATTTCAATTTCAAATTTATTGATGGAAATCAAGCAGAATCAATTCTCACTCAAAATACTAGCTTTTGAACATGCATGTTGGTTCCAACACTGATAAGTTGAATATGAATACCAGAAGAATTCGAAATAAATTATCACCACATCTTTCAACCTTACATTGATTGTTACTGCCCTCCAATAAGCCAAAAAAATTCAAACCCTTAAAAAAATATGTATGAGCGAAATAAAGCAATGCTTATGCAAATGTTTCAAACAGAGGAACAATACACGCAAGTAATCAATCTTCTAGATATCTTTGAAAAGTGGAGTTTGATTGATTTTTCAACTGTCGAAACTATGAGAAAGACGTTTGAAGAAGTGGACAAGGACGAAGAGTTTATATTTGATGTTGTTTCAACGAATTGGAAGGTATTTAATCAATGCAAAGACATTCCGATTTCTAAGGATCAATTCATGACCTTGTCTACCAAGCCTACGAGAATTGCTAGTCTAAGTTGCTTTGGTCGAAAAGGTTGGGAAAGATTATTCAAACAAATTCGAAGATTGAATCCACCTGTTAAGAAAGAAAACCTTGGATCATTGCAAGCTGATACAATTATAGAAGAAACTAAAGATGAATCATTGACTGATGTTAAACCACCAAAAGAAGAAACATCTTCTTCAACACAAATATATCAGGCTGGCCCTCATGTAATTAATTACACCCATTCCGACAAAGAAGAAGAAATTTCAGCAGGTGAGCTTCATGAAACAAGGCATAATAGAAAATACATTGCCAATTACTTCAAGAAAGAAATGGAGATCTTTTTAGCGAAAAAGATGAGAGGAATGTTAGAGATTTTTCAAGACGAAATTAAGGATGATTTAGGTAAGGTCGCCAACAACATTGGCACTTCGTATGAACTGGTCTTTACCCAACATTTAAAAGACAATCATCCAAACTACAAGTTAAACTGTGGTTATGGTATGGCTGTCGATTTTACCAAGATCAAAAAACAAGAAAGAGAAAATTGGGAAAAGTTTATGAAAATAATGGTAACAAAGAACTTCCTTACCGAGAATGAAATAACATTGTTATCATTAGACACAAACGAAGTAGAATTCAACTTCTTGATGGAAGATACGGTTGCTAATTTTAAAATAATTGATGCCAGTATTTCTTTATTTCAAAAACAGGCTCAACTATTGAAAAACTTAATACAAATAGAAAGGAAATTGATGGCCTTTAATTTAACAAAAGGATGTGCTTATTTGAAGGAGGTTTGGTTGTATTCTCCAACCGAGGTCAATATTTCTAGATTGGAAACATGTTGTAAAATAGCAAAACAACATGGATTTACTTTGAAACATGTTGAATCCCATGTCAGAGCCAGAACATTTAATACTTCGAAGTATAGAAATAAGATATTGATGGACAATTGAGTCAAATACTTTCTAATAAACTGATTAAAATTGACCCTCTCGTTAATTGATGATAAGGAGACATTTGTTATGAATGTGAAGCCGTCATAGCTCAGTTGGATAGAGCACAGGACTTCTAATCCTGGGGTCGTGGGTTCGAGCCCCATTGTCGGTAAATAATTTTTTGTTCAAGATCTACTATTGAAGTCTTTGGTTTCTCATAATTTATGTTTCAGACTATTAAGGCCAAAACAATCGTTAAAAAATATGCAATTCGGCCCTGCAGAGATTGTGAGGAGCCACTTGTCTCATGAGTGTTCGCTTCTATCACCACTAACAAGTTTATTCCTATTCAAATGTTCATCAATTGATGGAAGCAATGCAATTTAGGTTTCCCAGACTTTCAAAGAGAGAAGACAAAGCCCCAATTATTCAATACAAATTGCTTCATAATGCTGGGAAATTATTTAATGAATCTCTTCCGTGTCTCTTTGTTGTGAATGGTGATGATTGTTTCGGGACAATGATTAAGCTGATGGAAAGTGAATGGAAATTCCACCACATGCACTACATGTTCATTGGTTTGTTTGTAATGAATTCTAAATGTGTCTTGTTACGTAGGAGGTGTGTGGGTGTTTATGGCTTTGTTGATACTTTCCTCTCCAAAGAATTTGATTTAAATGTGCAGACGGAAGCAAATGAAATGTTTTCAGAGTTAATTAGTTCTTGTAATCAAAATAATGAGGTATTAACTACACTTGTGAATATGGGGAGGTTTGAATATTACAGTAGAGCGTTTAAGTGTTTGTTTAGAGAATGTTGTAAGGATGATTTTGTTCTGTTTGATTGTTTGGAAGATGGGCTTTTACAATTGGAAGAATTGAAAGAAATATTCGAAATTCACAAAAGCACTCCAAAGAATTGTATCAAGTTGATACTTGGAGGAAAGGATGGACCGTTCTTTGTTTTACCTCACCAAAGAGATCAAGAGTGGAATATTGAAATTCAATTCCAATATAGGAACCGAAACGAATCTAATATTCAAATTCACTATGTTATTGCAAAACCAAAGGCTTCTCACAAGAGAGCATGGGAAAACTTCTTTGATATCAAATCCTTGGAATTTGGCATACCCCTTTCGGATTTTCCCCACGATTATGTTGAAACATGCAACAGAGAAATTACAGAACTTATTCCTAAATTTAGTATTCGTACAATTCGTGATCCAAATTCTTTGGCCAAATTTAATACTTTTGAAGAAGCTGAAGAATATGTCAAACAACTATTCCCAAATACAATGGCAGAATTTATCCCAGATCCACCACTTGGAGCTGTAAGATTTATGGTTGTTGTAAAACATGGTGGTCAATTAGAAATAGAAACATCACATCCTCTAAAAAGAATTTACGGAGGTGTGAGGTTAGTTGTGAATGGAAAGATGAGCATTTTGGGTGTTGTTTTAAAGCATGTTATTGAAGAGAAATGGTCAAATTTTCTAAATGACATTTATTGTAAAACAAATACTAAACTAAAAAGGGGAAAAGAAATGGTTCTAGAATTTCATTCAAAGAGGCGAGATTTATCTTTAGATGAATGCTTGGAAAATATATTCGAAAAGAAAATAACATATTCCAAAGAAAGTGTTTCATGTTATGGAACTCAACGATTGACCTTAACCTTTATTGGAGAATGGAATGAAAAGAAATCATTTTTCAAACTTTCAATGCAAGAATTTACCAATAAGGAAATTTTAACACATCTTGCTCAAAACAATTCAATGTTGAGACAAACTCATTCGAACATTTCACAAATTTATGTTTATCAATCAATTACTGATATGGAAAAAATTGAATCGTTCTTGGATGCTATTACCAAGTTGAGAAATGATATTAATGAGGCGCAAGTAAGTGTGTCGTTGAAAGTGAATTGCTTAGATGTGTCTGTTCAAGAATATTTATTTCCAATATCCGAACTTGTAAAGTTTAAATATGCAAATTCAAAATTACAACTTTGCAAGCTTGTAATTATTGAATCTATTTCAATATTGAAGCAATTAGATAGTTTGGACATCTTACATCAAGATATTTCATTAGATAATTTGATGATAAGAAAACGAAACAATTTATTCGAATTGATTTTGATAGATTTTGATTTTTCCAAAAAGTATTCGAAAGTAGAAAACGAAAATTCAATAAGAGAGCCTAATTGGACAGATTTTGGATCTGTAACAAAGCACCCTTATTGGTGTGAAAAAAAGAGAACAAGTGTTGGTGATATTTATTCAATGTCTGTTGTCATCTTTGAGATTGTTTATTTTCTGTGTGTTGGACGAAATTTTTCAAAACAATTCTATAATTTACCAGTAAGTAGTGGAAGATACAGAATTGAAATTGTGCAGTGTTTGCAAAATGATTGCGATGATTTACAACAAGTGCTAGGGAAGAAATTTGAATCTTTCCAAAAGTTAATGGAATACATGTTACATTACGAACAAAATCCTATACTTCCTTGCCTTATCAGTATGATATCCAATCTCATCAATGATGATAACAAGCAATAAACCAATGTTAAAGTTCTTATTTATTTACTTTTCAGAGATAGCAACATGAGAAATTTTGGATGCTTCCTCGAGAGCCTTTTGCTTATCTTCCTTGCTTATGGAAGTCAATTTAGAAAGTAATTGTTGAATTTCTTCATTGCTCAAATCTCTCAGAATTGTAAGAGAAGCTTTTTGTGATTCAAAATCTCTGGATGCACTCATACTTCTATTGTAAGAAAGTGGGCCCAATAAGATAATTCTCTTTCCTTCAAATTTCATAATATCACATGGAACTCCTTCTCCCCATACCTTATGGTTGAGTGACTTTGAAAAACATTCAGAATCGGATGAGTTTAGCGGAATTCTATCAATACCAGTCCAATTGTAGCATTCATAAACCCATGACATTGAACCACCAACCATTGAGCTACCTTCTCCCAATAAACAATCCACTTGTTTTTTAGGAGGTGCCTTGATTGCCAAGCTTGGATTATGTTGTTTGAGATAGTGAGCCATTAGTACATGTAAACTCCAATTACTTGTAACTCCGTCAATTCTCATTTCAACACCCCAATTTTCCAAAGGATGAATAACAATAATATCCTCATTCTCTAAAATGTTTGTTGCAAAGAAGAGAAACTTATACTCCCATCTGTTGGCTGCAGTAAGTTCTTGGAATTCATTAAATTTTGGATGAGCACGCATGGCAGCTCTCACTTTTTCAGATCTACTCGAAGTAGCCACAAGAGACAATTCAATTCTTCTCAAGGCATCTTCATACTGCTTCAATATTTGAGGTGGAATTCTGTCTCCAAACTGATCGACTAACAAGAAGGTGTTTGAAGCATAATTGATCAAAGCATTAACATAAACAGCAGCTTGTTCATCATTCAATTCCACATTATTTTCAAACATGACACCCATAAACAAGAAGAGGAAAGCAAGAGGACCATAACTAAATGGTATTACCTTCATCAATTCAATCAAAAAGTTTGCCAATACCTCGATTTGTTGATCAATATTTTCCTCTTCACTCTCCAATAATTCTTGAATTGTTTCCGAAATTAAACCCAGATTCAATTGAATATTTGGCTGATCCTCCTTGCTTTGAACAGCAAGGCGAATATTGTTTAGCATATCATTGAAGGCTTCTTCAAATTCGAACATTTTTTAATTATTGTTAAAAATTAAATTAAATGTGATGTGGAATTTGATTGGATGAAAGGAAACCAATTACCAGAATATTTCGGAAATTGTAATTTAAGTTAGATCTACTGGAAAGAGGTTTGAATTTGTTTATTAAATTCTTAGATATTTGATATTAAATTACTTGTTGGTGAAGGTCTTAGTTCTAATGTGTGATGAATTGAAAAACCGTTGAATAATTTTCGCGCCAAATTTTGTTGTGATTTAAATTTAAAAAAAATAGGTGAAAAGCAAACAACGTCAAAACGCTTCTCCCGATACGATCATCATCAGTTAATTTATTATTTGACAAACATCATATCAACAACAACAACAACAAACACATCAGGATGGACTTTGACGACGAATTAGAGTATCAATTTGCTGATACTACTACTGAAGCGAACGATGACGAAGAAGAAGAGAAGGATTTTGAAAATCTTCAGGATGACTTTAGAGAAGGAGCTAGTGAAGAGCAAATTAGTGAAGAGGAATTACACTTTCAACAAAATATCAAACCACACATTTTAGATACAATACGGTTATTGACCAGTTTTATTATTTTCAAAGATGATGAGGAATTATCTTTCGAAGAGAATACTGAAGTCTATGCTGCTAAAAGGAAGGCTTGTATCGAATCGTTGCAAGACTTACAAGAAATTACAAAGGAGGATTTGACTAAAAGAGAGAGAAGAGTTTGGACACTTTTAATAGAGACAAATATTCACAAGAATGAACTCTTTTCACTGCTGTCACACCACAGAAATGACTATGACATTGTGAGAGAGGTAATTGATTTGTTAGTAATTTTGAGTGAGTCTCCAGATCAAAACAATCCGAGATTTAGAAAGTTCTCTGCTAGAGGAGGTGCTTCCGAAAGAAAGAGAGCTATTTTCTACTTTGGAAAACAAATGAAAATATTGCAAAGATTCAAACAAGCTTTACTGTCGACTAAATACCTTCCAATCATTAGTTGGACATTAATGAATAAGGAAAATGAATCTGCACTCAAATCAAAAATGATAATAGATGAGGAAAATAAGAGGAGAGTACTTACAGAAGCTGACCTCTACTTTATTGCTATTTTCAAATTGTTAAATAACTTATTATCTATACCAGATGCCAAACATGGCAAAGTTTTACAAACTGAAGAACTCCAAACAAGAATGCAAGATGTTTTGGTCAAACAATTGCAAAATGACTGTCAATTTTTAGATTACGCTCTCGTTAAAATGACCAAATTTATTGAGAACTATAACGAAGTATCGTCGCAATCTGAAATGAAGAGACTCTCAGAATCTTATTTACTTTTTACAAAGTTTGCTACCATGCTTTTTTGGAATGAATCTGTGAAGGATTTATTTGAAGCATCAAATCCAATAATTCCAAACAGTAATGATATAGTCATGTCACAGAATGAGGAAAATATGGAAATGGATAACAGTGAGCTGAAAAGATTGCTAAGAAAGGAGAAAATGTACAAGGATCAAGTTAAGTCTTTGATTCTCACAGGCAGACACTCTCGCTTCCAAGGCAGTCTTTTAGAAAGAGAATCAAATGTCAGTAAGGTTATTAGTAAGAACAAGGATGCTCAAAAGCTCAGTGCACTATTAGAAGAAAATGAAGAATATGATGCAGAAAAAGAAAATAAGAAGAATGATGTAAAGATACAAAAAACCTTTGTTGTGCAAAATGTAACTCACATGAATACGGCACACATGTATGCAGCTAGTGACAATCCATTCCTTGTTGGAGGCGGACAACAAAAAGCCTCGAGTACTGGTGCTAGATTTGGTACCAAGAGATTTAATGTCATGTCAGACAAGATGGAATTGAGATTTTCTCCATCCTCTCTCGAAACTAGAAAGATCATTAAGAACTTTGCAGATGATTTGTATAGAGGCTGTTTCAATAGTAAGTTTTCTTTAAATATTTAAAGGTCTTATCCAATAATAATAATATAGCATTGATTCAACTTACTTTGCAAACTATCATCAAACAACAGGAGGATTCCATTGCCATCAACAATGAACTGGATCAAAAATCTACTAAGGAAGCACTTGATCATGAAAGCGAAAGAAACTTTTTATTCTTAGGTCAATTCATGCTAGGTTATAACAGATACAAGTACCTGCAAAAGAAGAAGAGAGAAGAGCAAAGATCAAGTGGAGAAACTGTTGGTTTCGATATTGCTCTTATTTCTACCTTGTTGAAAGAAGGTGTTGTTTCTATGATATTCAAGAAGTTGTTGAGTGATTACTTTTACACACAAAATACTTTTAATCTTACATTTGTAATTGGTTTCTTGAGGGAATTGTTTACAACTTTTAGATGGATGGGTGATAAGAACTACAGTGGATCTGATGCATCAACATGGGGTAGAATTGTTTCTATTCACTTGCATCACATTCTCTATGACCCAACAAATATGGAGAGTCTTGTAAGATTAGTGAGAGAGTACAAACCATATCAAAATTCTATCAAGTACCTTTCTCATTTAGTTTTGTTGGTTGACTTGTTTATTACAGTCATTAATGAAAATATAAGCATTGAAGCATTCTTTATGAAGTCTAAGAAAGGAGAATCCTCAACCACAGAAGATGAAGAAGAAGAGGAAGAGAACGATTCTGCCAAGCAAAAGAGATTCGAATTGGATGGTTTTAGAAGAAGATTTGCCAATCCTTCTGTTCTCAAACAGTACATGTATCTTTTCAGGTTTTATGATGTCAATCCTCCAGAAGTCAACCAATCCATTATCCAAATATTCAAGTACATTATTGAAGAATTGGATATGGAATTCATGATGTTCAGAGCATCATTCTTGAAGCTTTGTTTCAATATTCTTTCCAACAAGACGTTTATCCATGATTCATTGGGCTCATTTGAAAGAAAGGTCAATGAAGAGGTGATTGACTTTGTTCTATCAATAGTAAAGAACTTCTTCAAGAGAGTCGATGAAGATCCATTCACTGTATGTGAAACTTTGCACTGGAGTACAATGGGCGAAGTCAGCTTGCTCAACCACGCTGATTTTGGTAGATCAGCAACTGAAGGAAGAGCATCAAGACCTGCAGAAGCTGATGATCTTGATGATTTCATCCAAGGTGAGGAAGAAGAGGAAGATGCCTTAGAAGCAATTAGAAGAGATGAGGCCAGAGGAGTTGATGAAGAAGAAGAGCTTCCACAAGAAGAAAAGAAGAAGAAGGACAAGAAGAAGAATAAGAAAAAGAAAGACAAGAAGAAAGATGAAACAGAAGAAAACCAAGCTGAAGAAGGAACAGAAGAAAACCAAGAAGTTAAAAAGAAGAAGAAAGATAAGAAGAAGGATAAGAAGAAAAAGGATAAAAAGAAATCCAAAAAGAGAAAGGAAAGAGACGAAGAAGAAACTGAGGAAACTGAAGATACTGAGAGAAGTGAAAAGAAGAAGAAAAAGAAGAAAAAGAAGGAAAAACAACAACAGGAAGAATCTCTTCAAGAGGAAGAGGAACCACAAGTTGAAGAAGAAATGGCTGATGAAGAGGATCGTCTCTTACTTTCCAGTGATGATAGTGATGATGAAAAGAGTAGAGGAAGACTGAAGAAAGTTACACAAAAAAGAGTCTTACCAAATTCATTCTTAAATCTCGATTTTGAGGATGAATAAATTACAAAATTTGTAAAATTTATGGAGAGCTTTGAATACGATTGACAATGGCTGAAACAAGGGCAGAATTATGAACCTCTGCGCCAATACCCAATGACTCTCTATCCTTCAAAATGCAACCACTCTTCTTAATACACAAACCAATAGCTGTTTCCAAGATGGTTCCAGTAGATCTCAAAGAATAGCATGGAGCAACCTTTTGACAACCATAGTAAAAGTATCTGGTAGCACAAGCAGAGAATATTGCGTTACCTCTAATATCTTGTAAACAATCCAATTGACAGGCAACACATGGAGTGTTATCAACACCAGCAAAGGAAGCTCTGTCAGGCATTGGATAATCTGATGGACCAGTAACGTGGAATGAGCTAGGAGCAGAAGAAACCAAACCCTTTGCAGTGGAAGATAAAGAATTCTTAACTTCGTTGGTAGTTTTCTTTTCTCCTTCACTGGCCTTTTCTTTCAATTCCTTTTTAACTTCTGCAATCTTGGCAAGTGTGAATTCAGCTTTCAAACCATACTTTTTGTTCTTTAAAGTATTGAAAGCTTTCTTATTGAGAGATTTCAATCCTCTTCCCTTACCACCTTTCTTTCCTCTTCTGCCACCTCTTCTTCCACCTCTTTTACCACCTTTACCTCTTCTTCCACCCTTTCCTTTACCTCTTTTACCACCTTTTCCACCTCTTCTTCCACCTTTGCCTCCTTTCTTTCCACCTTTACCTTTTCCACCTTTTCCTTTACCTCCTTTACCTTTTCCACCTTTTCCACCTTTTCCACCTTTTCCTTTACCTCCTTTTCCTTTTCCACCTTTACCTCCTTTTCCACCTTTGCCTCCCTTTCTTCCAGAATTTCCACCTTTCTTTCCACCATTTGATTTTCCTCCTCTTTTACCTCCTTTGGCTCCAACAGAATTTCCACCACCTCTTTTACCACCTTTTCCTCCTCTACCTTGTTGTTTTGATGTGGAACGAGCTGTACGACCACCACTGAGAGCTCCTCTCTTTCCAGATGGTTTACCACCAGTAGCACCAGCACCAGCACGTGAAGCAGATTTTCCACCTCTTTTACCACCAACACCACGTGAAGCAGATTTTCCAACAGATCCAGAAGTAGCACCAGTACCAGTACCAGCACCACCACGTGAAGCTCCTTTTCCACCTCCTCTTTTACCACCTCCTCCAGAAGAAGTAGCACCACCACGAGATACTGAACCACTTCCTCTTCCAACAGAACTTCTTCCACTACTACCACCACTACTAGCACCTCCTCTTGAACCAGCTGATGATGATGAAGATGATCTTCCACCACCACTACTACTAGCTCCTCCACCTCTAGAACCTCCTCCAGAAGATGATCCACCACCTCCTCTGGAACCTCCTCCAGAAGATGCTCCACCACCTCGTGATCCACCTCCACCACCAGAAGATGATCCACCACCACCTCTTGAACCTCCACCGCCTCCACCACGTCCTAAAGTGTTGATGTTATCCTCAATTAATTCTACATCTTCATCTTCATCAGAAGACAATGTAGCAGCAGCTACTACAACGGTACGTTTTTTTCCTGATGAACTGGTCTTGGCAGGTCCACGACATTGACTTGCTGTGGCATTGACACTTTCACATAGTAAAAAACATTGTATGCTGATAATTGCCAGAATAGCGAAAAGTAAAAGACGAATATTCCACTGTGGCATTTTGTTTTTAATGACTTTTTTGCGTTGCGAGAAGTGAAAGTGTCACTACTCAACATTTGATGTGATTTGAAGCTATTTGTGGCGAACTGGAAAGTTTCTGGACACATTTCGGGTTGAGTTTATTGGATTGGGAAAGAAGAGGACAATTAAACCAATGTATTTAGTTCAAATATTGTAAAGTTTCGTAATCAATAGTAAGTAGTATTGAAGTGAAACATTCGAATATTTTGGATTAACTCTCATTGTAAATAGAAACATTGTTTAATATTTCTCATATCGGTATATACTTTTATAAAATATTACTCCAATTATGAGATTTGATTTTATTCGAAACATTTCTAATAACTCACAAATATTTAAATTCTTCTTTCAATGGCTGAGGTAATATATTGCATTGCATTTGAAATTGTTCTATTCACTTGTTCTTCATTTCCAATCGATGGATTCACCTCTACCAAATCCATTCCAACAAATTTCGAATATTTTTGACATTTTCTACAAATCTTTAATCCATCCTGATGTGAAATTCCATTCTCCACAGCTGTTCCTGTACTTGGTGTAAATTCTGGATCAATACCATCCACGTCAAAACTCAAAAATAATGGAAATTCTGATTGATTTAAATTCAAGTGTGAAAAACATTCTTCCAAACAATATTCGATTTCTAATTGATGAATTTCACTTGCAGTAAAGTGTTGAATTTTGAACTTTTTCAAGATTTCTTGTTCGAAAGAATCGACATCTCGAAGACCCAAGTAAGCCAACCGAGAAGAAACTAGGAGATTGATTTCTTCATTCATCCATTCGAAACCAATGTGTGAATTTCTTTCCTCTCCCAAAATTGATTGACCACAGAGGAAAGCAAGTGGCATACCATGCATATTCTTACTCATTGAATCTGATTGGTGTCAAATAGTTTATCGACAAGTGACAGAGTTGAGAGTTTAAATAAAAACAAGAAACAAACCTTTTGGAGTGTTAATGTCTGCATGAGCATCCACCCACAGTACTCTTAAATCTGGATATTCCATTAACATGGCATAAATTGAGCCAATTGCCACAGAATGATCTCCACCAATGTTTACTATAAATGGTTTCTTATTGGATTGAACTTGGAAAATAGTGTTGATTGTTTCGGCAATTTGTTGATTGAAGGAGCCAACTCTTCTCTGATTGAGACAAATCTCCATATCATCAGCCTCTTTGTCTACCAATGTTGAAGGACTTTTCGAATAATCTGGACTATTACTATTCGAATCTCTCTTTTCATTAATTTTAATAACTGGCAAGTGATTTAACAATTGTGTTTGTAGTAAATGATAAGCTCCCAACTCAACACCCTCTCTTCTCTGACCCAAGCCACACCAACTTTCCAGAATTACAACATTCTCATTGTTTTCCTCTTGTTGATTTCTCATCATGTTATCAATGATATTCATTAGCTGTGGATGCATCTATGATAACTTGTGTATTAATAAGTTTGTTTTTTTTATGTGGTGAAGAATACGTTAGAACATCCAGTTCTAAACTCTCACTTTAAAAACACATGTTTGGTTGTGTGAATTGCCAATTTAGATGCAACTTATCTTCTATCGATTGGAAACATACCTTAACAAGGATCGCCGTTCACATGTTACTGAAATGTGCGTTCAGTTAACATTGTTTTTAACTCAACAACTTGTCAATGTTCTTGTAGTATACTCTCAAATTCATTTAAGAAACCTTAGCCGTGTGGGTGGTACTTTACTGATCCATTGCAGATAAGAGTTGAGCTGTAGTAAGTTACGACATTATTTTCAGTGAATAGGAAAACTTCCACAACAACATCATAAAGAGATGGTAAGAAAAGAAGTGAATTCATTCTAAGGGAAATTACCAATATTTACCATCCAAATAAATCATATCCCTCAATAGTCAAACGAAATAAGCCTCATCCAAGTATGAAACTAGATAATAATGAAGAAACTGTTGCAAAAGAAAATATAATATTCATTCAAATTCATCTAAAATTATTGCCTATTAAAATAAACATATCAACATTAAGCAGAATTTCTAATCTTTGCAACAATTGCTTGGACTTTTGCATTGCCTGAAGCTCTTGGATCAATTCCTAAATCAGCATTAGATTTGAAACTACATCCACTCTTTTCCAAACACAATCCAAGTCCAACCTCTGTAATGTAAGCATTTTCTCTGAGAGTGTAACATGGTGCTACTTGCTGACATCCATAAAAGTAATATTGCTTTGGGCAGTTAGAAAATACAGAGCCAGCAAAACTTTGGAAATATTGCATGCAATCCAATTTACATGCAACACATTCAGATTGTTGCTTTCCAAAGAATGAGTTACGATTTGCGTGAGAGGTTGAAGTTGGACCTGTAATATTAAAACGAGATGGATTATAGTCAACTGTTCTTCTTGCACCTTCAGAGAGGGAAGACCTACCTGAGGCTGGTGGTGCTGCTTTAACTGCTGGCTTAACTGGGACCTTTGGTTTGACTACAACTTTTGGTTTAACTACAACCTTTGGTTTGACAGCTGGTTTGACATTCTTGACCTTACTTTTAACCTTACTCTTAGTCTTTGATTTGGCCTTTGATTTACTCTTGGACTTACTCTTTGATTTACTCTTTGATTTGCTCTTTGATTTACTGGTTGACTTGGACTTGCTCTTTGACTTACTAGCAGACTTGCTCTTTGATTTACTTGCTGATGACTTACTAGATTTGGATTTACTAGCAGATGACTTTCCTGATTTACCTGATTTACCAGATTTACCAGCTCCCTTACCAGCTCCTCTTCCAGAACCCTTACCAGCTCCTCCTCTTCCAGAACCTTTTCCACCTCCTCTACCAGCACCTCCTCTTCCAGCAGATCCACCACGAGATCCAGAACCTCCTCTTCCTGATCCACCTCTACCACCACCTCCACCTCTACCACCAGAGGAACCTCCACGACCTCCTCCACCGCCTCCACCTCTACCTCCACCTCCGCCTCCAGAGCCACCTCCTTTACCGAGAGTGAAAGCATCTGAAAGGGTTTCTTCCAATAATTCTTCCTCCTCCAAATCATCAGAAAGTGTAGTTACTCCTCTTTTAGCAGAACTCTTGGCTGTATTATCTGGGCCTCTACATTGACTTGCTGTTCCTTCAACAACAATACTGTTACCCAATAAAAATACCAACACAAGAGTTGTTATTAGAAATAAACAGACGAAACAACGACTTGACATTTTTTCTGATAAAGAGTGTCAGTTTGTTGTTGGAGTACGAGGAAGAGACATGATTGGTATGCAGTAACACATGAGTTTGATTACAATCATCCTTTCCAGTTACTAATTTTCTTATAGATAGATTATAATGAAGGAAATTGCTAATGTTTGTTCAACACTTTAGATAGCAACGAAATTGTGTTGTATTTGAAACAATATTGTTATTGTAATCTTGGTTTGATTTGAGTAAAAGGAAATTTGATTTTGATGCATCTAATTTTCAACTAGTCATTCCAAATCTGCACATGTGAAATTGTTGTAAATATTATAGTAGGTGAGGTATTATTAAAACAAATCCTCAATGTCCACATTTTCCCATCCTTTGAAAAATATTCCCTTCTTATTGACATTTAGCATTTTAGCTTCCCATTCTCTGTATCCTTTGATTGGTGCATCAGCGTTTACAATTTTACTGAATACTTTAACTCCATTATTAACATTTTCATAAACTCCTGCCAGTAGTTCTAAATCCTGATCAAATATCATATCAACTGTTTTAGCAAATTTGTTTCGTATGAAAGGAATCTTGTTCAGAAAATTCAATATGGAGAGGGAGGAATAGAACTTGAATATTACTTTAACTTCACCTTCTCCTGTTGGAATTAAGCAAAATACTTGTGACATTCTTGGACCTGATCTTTCATTTGCAATATAGTCAGTGGTGTCCATTCTTACAAAGCAAGGTGGAATGAATGATAACTGAACCATAAATTCTGATTTCAGACCTGGAATTTTCTTGAATTCTGGTTTTGTGAATCGATAAGTGAAAGAATCTTGATGAATACTTTGATCGTATTGCATTTCTTTTGGAATGAGTCTTCTCGATGGATTGTCTGATGGGATATCTTTAGATATTACGAGTTGGCTTTGAATCTGTGTGGCTTGACTTCTCTTTCCAATAGTTCCATCATGTGTAAAATCCAAATGAGCAGGGTCAAGCAAATTCTCCAATACAAACGAGTAATGACAAGGTAGGTCTCTTGTGTTTTCTATTAACACTTCTAGTTTTGAAGAATCATCAGTTAAAAATTCTTCTCTAAATAATTCCAAAGGTATTTGATTAATATCTGCCTTAACCTTATCATTGGGAAATACCCAAATTAGTCCACAACATTCATGAACTTGTTTTGCTTGGCACTTGATGGTAGAGCACAATCCTTTCATTCTTTCAGACGAAACTGATGGAATTCTAACACATTGTCCTTCTTTTTCAAACCTCCAACCATGATAAGCACATTCCAAGGATCTTTTCCCTTCGAATTCTGTAACTTGTCCTGTAGAAAGTTTGGCAGATCTGTGAGGGCATAAATCTTTCACACAAGTAATATTGCCATCACTAGTTCTATACAATGCAAGTGGTTCTCCAAATAGCTTGATTGTTTTTGGTTTAGAATCAGTGATGGAAACATCTTTTGAAAGTGCCACTGGATACCAAAACAAGGTCATTTCCAAATTTGTAACATCTGATTTGGTTTTAAATGTATCATTAGGAAATTTCTCAATAATATTCTTTTGTTTAAATATGAACGAAAAATCCAACCAATCAAATAATCGTAGATAATACTTTGATACTACAACCAATCCTCCCACAACGATAGCACCCAATGCTAGGAGCATGCTGATTGAATATTCCGATCCTAATACTTTACTTCCTATCTTTACGAGTTGTTGCATTTTTTAAAAGAAATTTGATCTTACTTAATCTTGCCTTTACATCATGGCTAATTGATCAAGTCGAGTGATAGAAGCTAGGAGGAGATTTAAATTACAACACTAACAAAACGCACTTGAGAAAATCAACAACCAGAAAATATTAGCCTTAAACTTTAAGCATTTTTAATCTTAAAAAATATTGATGAAGAGAAGTAAGAAAATGGAAATTCTTCTTACAATTAATTCATAAGAAGTTGATAGGAGAGCTTATTATCAATGTCCTTTCAATGTCCACTCAATGTCCACCTAGCTGGAGATGCGAATGATGTCCTCGGTAATGAAATATTAGGAATCCGAAAACCATCATCATATTAGACAATTACACTTCATTGAATATTATTTAAACAAAATGACTCAAGGAGAAGAAACATCTGGTTTGAGATTTTTCTCTAGAAACAAAAGCAAAGCTTGGGCAGAAAAGTTCTTCCTTGCCTATGGCCCTATTTGGATGCTTTACTTTGTCTTTCTGATTTATTATGAAATTTATGAAGGTGCCTCGAAACTTGGTTGGACAATGTTTGGTGTCATAATGGCAACTCCTTGTGTTATGTATCCATTGATGTTTCCAGGAAAGGCAGACAGCAAGTTACCAATCACTGAAAGATATTGGTTTAAGGCTAATCTTTGGATTTTATTTTTCAATTTTGTTGGAAATTATTTCTGGACTCACTACTTTTTCAATCTACTTGGAGCTAGATATACTTTGGAGGCATATAGTATCAATGATATTCCTTATTTGATGTTTTTCTGCACCCAAGCTTATTTCACTTTTTATTTCACATTTAGTAATGTTCTATTGAGAATGATTTATACTGGAATGAAAGAATCAAGAGGGAGAACTGTCTTTGTTGTATTGTTCCTTTGTGCATTTTGCTATTTCACAGCCTATATGGAAACACTCACAATCCAACATTTCAAATATTACACACACAAAAATAGGGATGCAATGTTAAAGTACGGTTCAATTTTCTATGCTCTATACTTTATTGTTGGATTTCCAATGTATTTCAGAGTGGATGAAGAGGAGAAGGAGAAGAAATTTTCCACATGGAAAGTTGTCACTGAGAGCTTGGCATCATGCATGTTAGTGACTATATTGCTTGACTTTTGGAGATTGATTATTGGAGGAATCATTCCAGATATTCCTCAATGCAATTGGAAAAATTAAATAAATTTACAAGTACTTTCTATAATCCTCCTTAGTTCTGTGTACCAGCTTTTCCTCAGCTTTACAACTTTTACAAGTCAGAATACACTGTCGTGTCTGGACTGGATCAAACGAAACTGAAATCATGAAATGATCACAATCCAGTTGTCTCCTTTTTTCATTATCAATTTCTGATCGATGTTCATTATCCATCAAGCCATAGCCCTGCTCAGCTGCTTGAAGAGCTTTCGTTCCCTTTCGTGTGCTTCTCTTAAAATTATCATATTCTTCCTGGAAAGCATAAATGTACGAAGTGTAAGAGCGGAATTGTTCTCTAAGTTTCATATTTCTATTTGTAAATTTAATTCTCCTGTTGAGTAAGGCAAAGTAAAGTTTCTGAAAAACCAAATGTTGTTCTGGTTTCATATCAGATGGAATAAACTTTTTTTGAAATCCAAAAATGTTTCGTGGATCTTTTAACTGAAACATGTTTTCAATTTCTTTTTCCAAAGTTTTGCCCTCCTTTATGAATAAGGCAGCATGATCCCTTTCTTCCTCTGTGGAAATTATTTTACCAAATGTTCTTTCCAATAGATATTTCTGGAAAGGAAGAGAATAAATAATGTTTCTAATTTTTCTATCAATAAGGACATAGACTGTGTAGAGATCTTTGATTTCAAAATAATTTAGTATCACTATCCATATTTCTTCCAAATGAATTTTGGTAAATATTGTTTCTGTTAAAACTTTAGGTTTCGGTTTCTTGTTAGATTTCTTAGGGATGGTATTCAACAAGTAGTCTTCGTCTAACAATGCAAATGAAGACATTTTTTGATTATCCTAATTTTAAATCTGATCTTGTAACTGTGATGATCATCCTCAAAGTGTGAAGTTTCAATTTCAAACAGTCAACTTGCAAAAAGAGCTGTTTATTCCACATTACAAAAAGATGTTCCAACAAAAACAGCATCAGTATTGGAGAAAGGTTCAAGTGTTAGCAATTCTCTTGGTTTGAAATACTTTTTAACATCGGTGATTGTTTCTTGGGTCCATTCTACAGATTGTTGAACGTATCCTTCAGGTTTGTGTAGTACAATATAAAAATCTCCACCTTCTTTAAGGAATAATTTGGCATTCTCTGTCATTGCTTTGTGAGTACCATTTGTCATTATGATGTCCACTTTTTCAGGAATTTCTGATTGATATTCAGATGGATTATTTGCACTTCCACTAATTGCAATAAGATTATTTCTTTGTGATTGCAATTTTGCAACAATTTGATAGTCAGATTCAGAACTATTAACACAATAAACTTTTCCACTAGTAGAAATAATATCCGAAATAAAAGATAAGGTAATTGGTGCAACATCAATACACAATATCTTTCCTCCTGGTTTGACACTCATAAAGTGCAAACCAGACACAATGCTGGCAGCCAGGCGACAATCCACTCTCCATTTTCTATATTCAGTTCCGTTAATTGTAACGATTTCATCAAAATCAAAAACTTCAGGAATATTTGGTGCATAGTTTACAGTACACAATACATGGAATGGCTCTTCAGGACTTGTTGTGATGAACATATTTGGAAATCTGTGTGGTTCAATTGTTGACATTTTTTTTTGATGATAAATCAACGGAAGGATTGGTTGTTTTGCAATGTTACCTTCATTGTAAAATGCAATTATTTGTTGAGGATGACAGCAAAGATTGCACTCTCTTGAAGTTTGTGAAATGTTGAAGGTGTTTCTTGTAGGATTCGTAGTTAGCTTTCTCCTTTTCATACTTTTCAAGTTCTGTGTAGTAATAGGAAGGAGGCCACACATTTGTTTTGATTTCAATCAAATCTTCTTCCTCTAGAGAATTCTGAATGAGTGGTAAATAGTTTGCATAATTGTTTGTCATATAGTAGAGGCATAGTTTTCGTAATTGTTTGGCATTGTAAAGTTTAGAAAACAAGTAGAGAGTTACAATTTCTTCACTGCCATTTTTTGCATTCTCTTCATTGATAGATTTCGATATGAAAACTTCACATTGAGTTTCAAGATGATTCATGTTATATAGGTGAGCTATGGCTAAAATTGTACACACAGAATTGGAATCAAATACAGGTTGTCTGTGATAGACATGTTGTAGAAAGGCCTCGCATCCTTTGATTTGATCTTCAATGGAATTAGTTAATTCTTGACCTTCAAATAGATTAATTTCAGTCATGGAAGAAGAGCTCTCAATAAAGCCATCTGTGAACATAACCTTAAAGACATCACTGCACACAAATAGAAAACATTTGTTGGCGTATCTGTAGTTATCTCCAATTTTGAATTGAACATCAGCATACTCTTTCTTTCCAAAGAAGTTTGTGTTTAGTTTCGAATAGAAATCCTGCATAATATTTTCAGATCCCTCATTAAACAAATCACACTTATCGTAAAAGTTTTTCAGAGATGGTGCGTCGAATAAGAGTGATAATTCATCAATTCTTCCTTTCAGGAATTTCTTCTCTAGATTAATAGTTTTCCCACAGTAAGTCAATTCTAGTATGGTTATAAATTCTTGTGTTGATATAGATTCTACTAGCTCAAGTTTGAAAATTTTCTCCTCATAAAGTATGGTCTTAAATAAAGTGGAGTACTCAGAATAGAGCTCCGGTATTTCTTCTATCTTATCGTTTGCAGCAAGATATTTCAATTTAGTGAATAAATTTTCCAATACTTTCGAGCAAGAACAGCTCAGAATAATACTATGAGCATATAGATTTTCTATTTCATTATTCTCATAATTCATTCCAATAATATGTACATCAGAAAATGCAGAATTATTGAGTAGTGATTGATTATTCTCAAATGAAAATCCAATTCTTTCTAACGGTTGAGGTTTTTCTCTTTTCTCTGGTAATCGAGGACATTTCCTCACAGGAGGTGGAAGACAAGTGGAAACAAGGAGTTTCAAAGTGGATACTTTTGTTTCCTGATACGCTGCATTTATCACTCGATGCATGCACAAAGTTACATTAATATCCAAATCCGAACTTATGAGATAACTTGCACAAACATTATCCTCATTCTTTTTCACCACATTCATAATATCCTCCTCAATTATTGATCTTTGCAAATCAAAATTTTCATTCATCATTAAATCACATTTTGTACAAACTAATACTATTTTCTATAAATTTGTGGATTCAAATATTGCAAAAATACCTACACATGAACTATCAGATTTTAAACAATTGGGAATCCAAATTTTATCCACATTCTCCAATGTTTTCGGTTGATCAATTGCAAATCTTTCAATTCATGAATAATTGCAACTTGACGTTAAACTTACAATATTAAAATTACATCACAATCAAATTTATCATCAATTGTACCAATCTATTCAAATTTAATTTCAAATTTAATTCAAAATATTAAATCACACCTACATGAAAACTAAGGAGATACGATTGATCACCAGATCTGAAACTTGTTACTCCTGTACTAATTTCATCATTATTCCTAATTAATTTGTTCCGATCGTCAATACTACCAACAGAATGCTTACCCTCTTTTATTGGTTACACATCGTAGGAGAGATTGTTTTCCAACGCCTTCATCTCCTAAAATTTTGACTTTCAGAATAAGTGATGCCATTTTTTATAAATTATAAATTAAATAAATTTTAACGGCAAGTATTGATCCAAACTTTACAAAAAAAAATGACACGAAGAGGATGTCGTCTCACTTGTTCTAATCGATTTTATTACATCACGATGATCATCTAAATAATTCACCACTCATTAAACAAGATCCGAAAACAAAAGACTTCATTTTCCTATCGATTTGAAAATAGTGCTTTTTATTTCAGTGCCGTAAAATGATGATATTAAAATTTCCAATCGATACAATTGTTTGATTGGTATAACATCAGACTCGGTTTATATTTTTGATAAAAAGACAAAAGAAGTGATCAATTCGTTTGCTTTTGGAGGAGTTTTGGTGATGAGTATTGATGATGAATGAGCATGATGAAATATATGTTATTTCAGATCGAGCAAATGAACATTCCTACAGTGTTGAAAAGTTTAAATTGGGAGAATTTATTAGAAACAAGAATGCTCCAGCTGTTAAACCAGTTTGGATTACATCAGATACATGTTCTAATACGTATGGAAGTGTAGTATTTAATGGTGTGAACACTAGATATTTAATTATTCTTGACAATTTTGAAAGTAATTTAAAAATATTTGATTATGAGACTGGATCTTTGATTAATAATACAATTTTTTCAGTTTATCCATATGCTTATTCATTAGGAAAGATTTCAAACAAGGAAATAGTTGTTGGATGCTCTAAGGTTTATTGAAATTTATGAAATCGATGAGAATTCATTTGGATTAGACAAACAAGCACTCAAGTTGATCATTTCTAAACCCATTACAGATTATCCAGAATTTTTTTCTATAACACAATGAATCGAAAGATTATTTTTTCAAATGTGTACGACAGTTCTATAACAGTTTGGAGTCAGGATAAATTAGAGCTAGTCCATCAGCATCAAGAACACCTTGATGGTATTTCAGGAACGTGTTTGGATGTAAATACAGGAGAGCTCTTTGTTTGTTTTTCTAAGGGGGTTAGCATATTCAAGTAGAGTGATTATTTTCCAATTTGGATAAGCATTCAAATTTATTATCCAGCCCTTATAGCTCCAACCATGGTTGATAAGATCTTTTGAGCTGATGCCCTCTTACTCAAATTCAGTTTCTTTCTATCAACAGTACATCTATTCTTTGTAATACACATTGCAATAGCAACTTGGATGATATTATCTGAGGCAGTTCTTTCATAACATGGAGCTTTTTGTTGACATCCATAATAATAATATTGCTGTCCGCATGTGGAGAAGATAGATGAGAATCCACCAAATGGTTGAGTACAATCAATCTTACAAGCAACACAAGTATTACGTTCAGAACCAGTGAATAATGATCTTTCTCCTTGATCATCACTTGAAGGACCAGTCATATCAAAAAAGCTTGGATTTTGAGCTGCAATTTGCTTGGCAAGAGTATCAATTGCATTATATGTGATGTGTGTATCCTTTCCTCCATTGCCATTTGCCACAGCAGTTGGTACAGGTTTTACAACAACTGTTGGTGGAGCTACAACAGCAGCAACGGTTACCTTTTTAACATTGTTAACCAATGGATCTCTGGTTACCTTGGTAGTTTTGGCTTTAGCCTTACTCTTTGATTTACTCTTTGATTTACTCTTACTCTTGGACTTTCCTTTAGATTTTCCTTTAGATTTTCCTTTAGATTTACCTTTAGACTTTCCTTTAGATTTACCCTTTGAAGACTTTCCTTTGGATTTACCTTTGGATTTTCCAGAAGATTTACCCTTAGATTTACCAGATGACTTTCCTCTTGAACCCTTGCTGCCACCTTTGGAGCCACCTTTACTGCCTCTAGAACCACCTCTGGATCCACCTTTACTGCCTCTTGAGCCACCTTTGCTTCCTCTGCTTCCACCTCTAGAACCTCCACTTCTGCTTCCTCTGGATCCTCCTCTTGAACCTCCACTTCTAGAACCACCTCTTGAGCCACCTCTGCCTCCTCCTCCACGGCCACCACCACGGCCTCCTCCACCTCTGCCTCCACCACCACGACCACCTCCACCTCCTCTACCTCCAAGAGTGGTTGCTGCATGTGTTGCTCTTTCATAATTTTCCAAATCTTCCTCATCCAAATCGTGTCCAAGAACGAGTGTAGTTCTGGTTTTACTTGATGAGGCAGTACTGGCTGGTCCTCTGCATTGACTGGCTGTGGCATCAACATAGATAACCATGGCCAACAAGGCAACCAAACCAAACAATACGCTGATTCTTACACCTCTGTTAAATAACATTTTTTTAAAGATACACACTCATAATTTTACAGAACTGATACATTTCTCACTATCAACCTTCCAAATTAAGTATGATGTGAGTACGGTAGTGGAACACTTTCTGGATATTTGAAGTTTTCAATCGAGTCAGCATGGAATAGGAACAAATAAACAGCACTTATGTGGCATGATAAAAGAATTTGGGTATTAATTCAGTTAGCTATCAAGAGATTTGTAAAATAATTTATCTGAAAAAATGCCTAATTTCAAATATTTTTCGGTGCTGATCCTCGTTTCAATAATTACATTGGTAATGGAATTTGTTTTAGCTGGGGTGACTATTCCAGCAAGTATTGCTCCTCTCAACACCATCATTAATTTAAAAAACAGCCAAACCGATTTCAACAATAATGGAAATCAGACTGATGCATTCACTCCTATAGCATTGGAAGGAAAGATGAATATCACGATCAGTGCTCGTTATTTTACCTTGATTAATTTGCCAACTAATAGAATTATAGTATTGAATATTTCGGAAGTGGATAATTGCAAACAACAACAGAACAGTTCGGAATCAACAACATGCACTTCATCCGAGAGTAATAATTTGAAATTTCTAATTCAATACAGTGATTGGGTAACCGAGAAAAAGTATGAAATGGTAATAACACCAAACACTAATTTTACATTGAAAATCAAGAATGCCAACGATAGTACATTCTATTCGATTGGAGTTTTCAGAGTAAAATCCTCAAAAAACATTGATGGAGCAATAACAGATGGTAATGAATATAATTTCCTATTTCAGTTGGATGTTGTGGACTCTATTGAAATGCCAGAATATGTATTTGTGATAATAATGATTTGTTCAGGACTTGTTGCTTCAATTATGTTTTTAATTACATTAATTCAATCTGGAGTTTCAATGACTTTTGTTTTGGGAGTGGATTTCTTTTCATTATGTTATAGGAGAGGAAAGAAAGGTTATTCACAAATTAATGTGAATATTCCTGAGGAAGAGTAAAGCTTAGAAACTCAATTTTCTCGAGGTTGGAATAATGAAATCGCCCAACAGTAATCCAATAGTTACTGATACCGTGATAGAAAGTAAATTGAATACAAATTCAATGCCACTAATCAAACTAGTCTCATCTCCTGAGCTAGCTGTCAAAAATTCCTTAACACCTCTCACACCAAATGCAGCAGGTATTAACAAAACAGTACCACAAACTGTAACCAGTAAAGCAGGATTTTTGGTAATATGAGCATACAAATTACCAGTAACACCACAAACAAGAGCTCCTAATAAAGCACCCACTTCTGTTCCTAAATAGTATGAGCTGTATGTAGTTACAAAGAATGAAAGATAAGAAATGATAGCTACGAAAATATAGGTCACTATCTTCTTGGGCACTCTGAACGTGAAAATATTTGAAACAATAATAAGTGGTAAAACTAGAGCTAAAATCCACTCTGGAACTCGTCTAAAGGTTCGGTACTTGTCTGGTTTTTCGTGAGAAAAAATGGTGGTAGAATTCGATAAGAAGTGGTCTATTCCTGTGGCCATCAACACACCAAATCCAAGCTGTAATGTCACAATGAAACCACTGAATAATCTTACTGAACCACTCAACAAGTGTCTCGTACTCAACTCGGCAATACCTGTTGTGAATTGAATACCTGGTAAAATGGAGAATACGCCACAAAGCGTTACCAAAAATACTGATAATGGAGAGGCAACTGGATCAGCAAATTGGGCAAAAACGATTTTCAAAATTGTGGCTACAATACCAGCAACCACAGAATTAATTACACTATTTACACGTTGGAAATATGGATACCTTTCTGCAAGTGTACAGAAAAGACCAACAAGAACACCTATCGCACAAGAGGTTATCATTTCAATAATACTTCCATCCAAGAATACTACCCAAGCAAAGCTATTGAGCAAGTGAGTTATGATTTGATAAAATGAATGGTTAAATATTGGCTTACTCTTAATGACCTTTCTAATTCTTGTTCTTGCATCAGGAATGGTAATTTTTCTTTGAGCAAGTTCATCAGCAATGTGATCGAGCTTGTACAACTTGTCAAGATTCAAAGAGCCACCAGCTGATGATAAATTAGCACTATCGATGGTAATATAAAGAGTAGTAGAGGTACTTCTACCATTTTCAACATTAAAGTGTGTCCAATCGATAGGGTCAGAGAATGAAAACAACAACCCAGTACTGGTATATTCAATTTGGCATGGTTTGACACCGAATTGTTTTGAAATATATGTAAGATGGTACTCTAAACGGTGCGCTGGAATACCAAAAGTTGCCAAAGCAAATCCAAGATCGATGAGAATTAATTGAACTTGTCTTTCATATTCGAATATTGTCGAGTAGGAGCTTCCTACTACTTGATTACCATTATCTGATAAACTTTCATCCACAACAATTTTTCCCTCCTCCATTTCAGTAATCTTTTCATTTGAAAAGATGGAATCAGATGGTAATTTCTCCTCACTCTCTGAAATAGGTTTGTTTGAAAATGATTTGGTAAAGTAATTATCAAATACATTGAAGGATGGAGATTTCTTTGTCGAAGAAGTTGGAGTAACATTATGCATATTTGGAATAGATCCCAAATGCAGTGGTTGATCCCTTTCAGAGAGGGCATTCATATTATCTTCACTTTTAACAGTCTCCAACCCTTCAGCACTAGGTGTTTTGGCTCCTTTTTTTCTGATAATTATATTAGATTTTTCAACAAAAGATCCTGAAGTTTTCTTCTTTCTTAAACGTTTGTTTTGAGAAGGAATATTTAGTGTAATATCACTTCTCTCCCTGTTAATTTCATGTTCAATAGGATCCATAGTATCATCCTCTTCGGATTTATAAATTAATTTGGGTGCACTTGTAATTGGTTGTCTTTGTTGTTTCATGGTGCGTTTTGTTTCCTTCATTCGTTGCACCATACCATTAATCATTCTCACACGTTCTTCCAAAAGTTCCTTTTGTTGAGTCAATTGAACAAGTGATGTTCTTTTAAAATCATCAGAAGGTAACAAGCTGTTAGATTGAGAATCATAGGAGGACAACATGTCTCTGTGAGGATATTCGGATTGGCTTCTCAATAAATGATGAGGTTTTTGTGCTGATTCATCCTTATTGCCAACCATTTCAAGCCACCACCACTTTGGACTTGTTTTCTTTTGTTTCGGAGTTGCTTTCTTGGAAACATCTACAATAGGACTATCATCATCAATAATAATTTCCTCCGATTTGGTTGTTTCCTGTTGATGGTCTTCCCTTTGTTGAAGTCCAAACCAATTAAACAATGATCTTTTTCCTGATGTTTGTTTCCTCTGTTCTGGTTGTTTAGCACTTGTAGAATTGATTGAATTTTGAATTGAAGTATGATGAATCATTGGTGTATCTTCCTCCTCTTCAGTTGAAGACTCTTCCGCACTCTCTGATTCATCTGCATCAGATGAAGAGATGTGAATCTGTTGCTTGGCAACACTGTTTTGTTTAATTAATCTCCTTTTACTTCCATTATTATTATTGTTGATATTATTACTATTGGGAAGACTTTGACTAATGGTCGGATGTTGTTGTTCTAATGTTGATGATGATGAACCAATAATTCATAATATTC